AAACTAATGGGAATGCAGCTTGCCCTGGTCAGGTAAGTTTTCCTGCTGTAGTTTTTGTAAATTATTTCAAGGTTAGGATAATGTTTCCTGATGTTTTCCATAATTAGTAATGAGCTACATCCCCGGTCCTTTTTATTTTGAGACAGGGTCTTGGTAAGTTGCTGAGGCTGCCCATGAACTTGTCACTTACTGACTTCTTATTTATTTTCAGTACTGGGGATTCAACTCAGGGCCTTGCACATACTAGGCAAGCAATCTACCACTTAGCTACATCCCCAGCCTGCCGATTTCTTATTCTTTATTTTTAAAAAAGTAAAGCACATTTTAAAGTCTATCTAAGTACATACTCAAAGCTTTTAAAGAATTGAGCCTGTTCTCTCTTTATTGTAGCTTCTTCCAGCAGAAATATCTTTGCTACATTCCTTCAACTCTTCACATGAAAAATCTTTAAACTATGTGTCCTGGAAAAAGGGATTTTTAAATATGGAAGCATTTTCAACTTTTGATAGCCTCACAAAATCAAAGTGGGATGAAAAACTCTTAAGTTGATGAGTATAATAAAGGAAATCAGTCTGGCTCTGTCCCAAAGTAATTATCGCGAGTCTTGTCTCTAGTTCTATTGTCATTCCATTCTCCTGTGGGCAGAGGTCTGACAAGAACTTGGGTTCTCATTCTTATTGCCAGCCCCAATGATTATAAAACTAGCTGGACAAACTTTTCCCTTTTGATGGTATTCACTGCTTCAGTTGGAAGAGACAGAGCCTCTCCTGCTCATGGAAAGACTTTGTTTTCCCTCTATGGATTTATAATAGCCTAAGGGTAAAACTATACTGTAATGAACCATATGGTAAATGCTTTAGAGGAATACTTTTTAAACCTTAAAAGTGTGGTGCAGAAATTTCTAAGAAATAAATCCCCATCCAACTCTAAAACCCTAACTGGGTCAATTTATTTGGTAATCATTTAACTTTCAATACTTGCTCACTATGTTTGGAATCCCAATAAAAGTGACCTCACTATAATTCCTGCTTTGATTGGTGTAACTGGTGACACATTAAATGCAAGTTTCAACAACACAGTGTATCTCTATTAGAGATGTATCATTAAAGATCCAGGATTTAGCAAGAGGCTCTGTATTTTAGGAAAGCAATAGTAAGAATTTAAAGCATTTAAACTATAAACAACTGAGGTTTATTTTGTATGACCAGGAATTCTCAACTTGAAGCACTATTATGGGTTGAACTGCATCCCCCAAAAAAGATTTGCTGAAGTCTTCACCCCCAATAATTAATTCAGAAAGTGATCTTATTTAGAAACAGAGTCTTTACAGAGGTAATTAAGTTAAAATGAGGTAACTATAGTGGGTTCAATTCTAATATGACAGGTGTTATATAAAAGCGAAATATATAGGCTGAGGTTGTGGCTCAGCGGTAGAGCACTTGCCTTGCACGTGCGAGACCCTGGGTTCGATCCTCAGCACCACATAAAAATAAATAAGTGAAATAAAGATATTGTGTCCAACTACAACTAAAAATTAAATATTTTTTAAAAGGGAAATATGTATAGAGATACACATAGAAGACAATATGGAGAGACATAGGGAGACCCCCCCCCCCATGTGAAGACAAAAGATTGAAATGATGTATCTACAAGACTGTCAGCAGTTAGGAGACCTGGAGGAGATCCTTCCCTAGTACCTTCAGAGGGAGCATGGCTCCACCAACACCCTGATCTTGGACTTCTGGCCTCTTGAACTGTGAGACAATAGGTACCTGTTGTTTCCAGTTACCTGGTTTGCAGTCCTTGTTAAGGCAGTACCAGAAAACTAATATAACACCCTCCCAAAACTATACATTTTCTTCTTCATACATAGGAGGGTCTTTCATGACTGTTAATTTTTTATTTTATCTTTCATGTTTGAACATGGATTTGTAGGATCTTTTATAAGATCTTAAAAATCCTACGACTATTGATATTTTAAAAATTAATATCCATTTAACATTGATCCTGAATATATAAGAACAATGTCAATGATCCCCCAAGTTTCGTAGCAATGGACTCTATTTTCAGGTCAAATTAACATTAATAAGAAAGTCTGGGGCTGGAGTTGTGGCTCAGTGGTAGAGCACTTGCCTGGCATGTGAGGCCCTGGGTTTAATCCTTAGCACTGCATATAAATAAATAGGTAAGTAAAATTAAAAAAAAAAATGGAAGTCTGAAGCAACATCTTTATAGAGAGGAAAGAAGAATACATAAAGATAAGAAATATGAATAGATTGGGTATTAAAATTCATTTAACTTTTTGTAAAGTTATAAGGTAATCAGTAAATGCAATTTGTTTTATTTGATTGATTGATTGATTGGTACTAGGGATTGAACCCAGGGGTGCTTTACACTGAGCTACATCCCCATTCCTTATTTTTTATTTTGAGACAGGGTCTTGCTAAGTTGCTGAAGCTGGCTTTGAATTTGCAATCCTCCTGCCTCAGTCCCCCCAGTCACTAAGATTATAGGTGTGTGCCACCATGTCTGGCAAATACTTTTATTTTTGAAATTAGTATATTTAGTTCAATCAATGTTTCCTTTAAAGCATTCTCAAATATGTTAGCTTACTTTTTTGTTTTAAGTTTAATATTCACTAATCTCCTTTCTATCTAATTAAGAAACTTAGGTTTTAAAATTTCCCTATTATCTCCAACTGATCATTAAAATCATATCCCATATTCTTCATTTTTCTTCCACATAACTGTGACTTTCCATTTTCTTAGTTTCTGGCATAACATTCTAGTACATAGGAAGTAGTATTTCTTCAATGTAAAAGCCAGATAGGAAACAAAATTTAGAAAAGAAATATAAGCATTCACAGTCCAAGGGCACATGGTTGGTATGTTTTTATGAGTTTTTGTAAAAGCACTTACTCTCACCATTAAAACTGACACTTGAGTGTTGATTCTCAAAAAACCACCTTATAAATATAAATTACTTTAGGAACCTCCAATAGAGCAGGGTTATTTTATCAGTTCAGTGAGGTTTCTCTCATGTACCTCTTCCAAGTGTTTCTTTCCTTGGAAATCAGCTACTTGATTTCTTTCCTTCTTTTATTTGTGGACCCAAAGGATTCCTTACCACTGGCCTACATCTTTTTTTTTTCTTTTAATTTTGAGAAAGGGTCTCACTAATCTGCTGAGGCTGGCTTTGAACTTGTGATCCTCCTGCCTCACTCTACTGAGCCACTAGGGACACAAGTGTGCACCACTGCACCCAGCTCACTTCTCTTTTTTAAAATAAACTTTTCCTCTTAATTTTTACTTACATTTTACCTATTTATTTGTAGTACTGGGTATCAAACACAGGGCCTTGTGCATTAGGCAAGTACTCTGCTACTGAGCTATGTCTTCAGGACTGACTACTTTTATGTTGGAACTCTAGAGTCTCTTTTGTGAAGGGGCTCACCTGACTTAGGTCAGGGCCACCTTGGATCAACACTTTTTTCTTTTTTTAAAAGAGGGAGAAGGAGAGGGAGAGGGGGAGAGGTAGGGGGAGGTAGAGGGAATTTTTAATATTTATTTTTTAGTTTTTGGTAGATACAACATCTTTATTTTATTTTTATGTGGTGCTTAGGATGGAACCCAGCGCCCTGTGCATGCTAGGCAAGCACGCTACCACTTGAGCCACATCCCCAGCCCAGCATTTTTTTCTTTAACTTAAAATTAATCAACTAGGAATTTTACTTTTGTGTTCAAAATCTTTCACTCTTTCCATATGATGTGACCTGACCAAGGGAGTGTCATCCAATTGTATTCAATGGTCCCATCCATATTCCAAGGAAAAGGATAATTCAAGGGCATGTGGCACCAGCAAGTAGGAACCTTAGGGTTATGTTAGAATTGTGCACTACAAATGGTATGTCTTAGTACCATTTGTGAGCTGTACTTCTACTTGGCTCTTATAGTTTGTCTGGGTATTTTTTGCAATATTGTACTAGTAAATAGCCAGAGTTTTAAAATTGCATTTACTTTCAATAAAACTAGAATTCTACTAAATGTAATATTCACACAGAAGACTTTGAGATTTAAAAATCATAACTACTCTGGATTAACATTCTTACAATCCTTGTGCATGAAACACAAGAGTTTTGTTCTTTGTTTAAATGGGGCAACGATTAATGTGATTGAAGAGTAAAGTGTTTTATTCACAAGCTACATGGGGAAAATGAAGGTGGCTTGAGCCATTAAGTAAGTAGCACCTGTGAGAAAGGAAAGCAATATTTCTATCAGAATAAACATAAAATCTTTATCCTTCCCATCCTTGTGGCAGTGCACTGTGTCACTGAACCAAATTTGATTACCACTGTCAATGCTAGAGACATTGGAAATGAGCAAGCCTGCCTATGTTTGGGTCTTTTAAGCTAATAGTCTGTGGCAGGGTCAAATGCTCCAGATCACACCACATAATCTATAATGTTTTAAAGGTGTTCAATCACCTCCCTAAAGAAAGGAATGAGAAGCAAAGAAATTTCAACACTTAGTAGTTTCTCCAGAAATATGTTAACACAGTTGCATTAATGTTTTCTTTACTCAGGGGTAAAGATATTTTGTGTCTTTCAATATTTAAAAAATTAGATGTTTTGCTTCCAATTTGATCAATAGAGAACTCCATGTACCTCCAAATTTTATTCATACTCATCCATTTTCACAGCAGAACCGACCAAAGTTTATTAAAATAAATCATTACAATTTTGTTTCAGTTTTTTAAAAGTGCAAATACATTAAAACTGTTAGTGTCATAAGATTGCAAACATTTGTCTTATGAAATTATAAAGATGTAAACCTGTTTAGTAAAAATTATGAAATATCAATTCAGTTTTCACATATAAAAATATATTGTTTTATGAAACACTGAACAGTTAAGGCCACAACACTTTTTTTAAGAGTTTGAGATGTACATATTTTGAAACTGCTGTTAAAAATTAGCATAAATAAATATCAAAACTGGTCGTACTATTTAAACAGGTCCAAACATATTAACTTATATTTTTAAAAGTCTTTTATCAGAAAATTTCCTTCAGAAGTCATACCATTTTTTCAAGTATAAATTATGAATGTGCTCAGTGATCATGAAAACATAAATGTATATTTATAGTATTGTACAGGATTTTGACTTTGCCTCCATAGTTGGTGAAGTATCCTGAAGGTTTTGTCCCATGTGGTTCTGGTTTGCATCTTTCTTATTGCTTTGTAAAGCTATTTGATCTCCTATTGGTTTTATCTCTGGGAGTGGCTCACTATTATTCTGCGTAATTTTCTGACCTGTCAATGACATCCGCTTAAAGAGGAAAATCTGGAAAAGACACACAACAAGATATTTCATTTCAGTAAGTCAACTGTTCACTTAGTATTGAGGGGTATCATTTTTTGTGTGTGTGGTACTGACTGGGATTGAACCACTGAGCTACATCCCCCAAGCCTTGGTTTTTTGTTTTTTTGTTTTTGTTTTATTTTCAGACATGGTCTCAGTAAATTTCCCAGGCTGGTCTTGAACTTGTGATCAGCTTCTCAAGTAGCTGAAATTACAGGCAGAGCCATGGCACCTGGCTAGGGGTATAATTTTTAACAAGTACAAACATGATTTTCTCACACCTTTATGGAGCTGTACATGTATAATGGTATGTTCTTAGCATCCATCTGTCTTTTCTCTTTTACCAAATTGCGGTCCGGATTCCACTCTAAAGCAAGACGTTTCAGGATTTAACATCTAACAACATTAGCATCTTGGTAATATATTATCATTTTTCTTCAAAGGACATATTTAATATTTCATTTTGTTGCATTATAAGAGGAAAAAAAGAGGAAAACAAGGATATCATTTATTATAATATTTAAACTTAACCAGGATGGGTTGTTTGGGGGGCATTTCTTCCACTGCCAGTATATCACAGTTACATTGAATTTCTATTGTAATGTGGTGGTGAAGGAAGATATATTTCCCTATTCCTGTGGATCAGATCTTTTGGCAAAATGTTAGTGCTGCCAAATAATAGCAGTCTGCACCCTGTGGGACTGAATAGGCAGTAGGAATATAGAGATGCTGCTTAGGCGAGGCCAGGGCTGTACATATGCAGAATACTGATAAAATTCAGTAACCTAGGGATTCGTGGTATGCAGAAAAGAAAATATTAATAAAAGAGACTGAAGAGGAGCAAAATATGAGAGGCAAGCTGAGGGAGAGGAGCCAACATTGAGGATGGAGGTTTGTAGGAGCAAAACTGGGAAAATGAGGCAGCTTGGAAATCAGGGGAAGAAAATACAAGAAGGGAGTGGCCAACAGGCCTACATACAGGAGTGATCAAGCAAGATGATGACATAATTCATCTAATTTAGGCCCTTTGAAGATTTAGCCAGAGAGAAAGATAATAGCATTATTAAAGAGTTACAATACAAATAATGGTTCTGACAATATGCCAAAACCCGAAAAAGAGGAAATAAACACTAGATGAAAACTTGTCTCTTTCAGAAGCCAAAATGGTGACAATAATAGTAGCTAAACCTTTATCTTTAAAAATAGGAGAACTAACGTGAAAACTTGTAACCCCCAAAGTTTAGGGTCTATGAATGAAAATGGAGGCATTTGGAGGCATTTCTATTTTTGCTACATTGGAAGAATACACATCTTGAAAAATTCTGCCACCACTAAATACCAAGAAATGCTAAGTATAAAAAGTAGAGTTTTATAATGTGTGAGTAATCTCTGAAAAAAATTAAAGGAAATCCCCTGTGGATGAAAAAATAAGGAAGGAGCTTCAAAAAGCCTCAGAGGTGAGTATTGACATAGTTTGATCTCATAATAGACTCTTGCTCGGGTTTTAATCTCACAAAATGTGGGAAATTGGAGCTGAGACCCCTAAATAATGTGGGTGTCCTCTAAGGACTATGTCTTTAACATAAGGCCACAAACATTGGGGGATAACAAAATGTCTCTTTTGGCCTGGCATTTGAGTGAAGAAGAAAAATGTTTGGTTGAGGTAAGTTTGAGGTTCATATTACCAGTGTGAGTGAGTGACCCTTAACCCTTAGGTGCTTCAGAACAGACTAATAAACATTCTCTATGGATAGACTCACTTTAATCTGACTTTTATAGGATTTCCACAAAACCTGATTAAACATGAACTTATAATCCAAATTCCAAAACACATATGGAAATAAGTCATCACTAGCAAGTCAGCCAAAGCAACAAACAAATTTCAATCTTAAGGATGAATGACATTGGAATTAAGAAACAGTACGCTTAAATTATTTAAAGCACAAAACAAGATGCTAATTTTTAAGATAAGATTGGTAAGAGAAACTATGGAATCAATAATAACCCTGAAATTACCCAGAATATCACTTAGATATAGAAAATATGAAACTGACATTGAAAGATATGGACAAGGGCTAAGAATGTAGCTCAGTGAATACTACCAGCAGAGTAGAACACTTAGAAGACAGAACATCAGACAATGAAGATAAAGTATTTCAACTTGAAAAGAACATAGACAGCTCAGCAAGACTGTTAAGAAACCATGAGCAGAACATCCAAGAAATATGGGATAACATCAAGAGACCAAATTTAAGAGTCATTGGGATACAGGAAGGAACAGAGTTTCAAACCAAAGGAATGAGCAATCTATTCAATGAAATAATACGAGAAAACTTCCCAGACTTGAAGAATGAGACAGAACCCCAAATCCTAGAAGCCTACAGGACGCCGAATGTGCAAAATCATAAGAGACCCACACCTAGACACATTATAATGAAGATGCCCAACATACAGAATAAGGAGAGAATTTTAAAAGCTACAAGAGAAAGGAAGCAGATCACATTTAGGGGTAAGCCAATCAGGATAACAGCTGATCTTTCAACACAGACTCTGAAAGCTAGAAGATCCTGGAATAACATATTTCAAACACTGAAAGAAAATGGGTTCCAACCAAGAATTGTGTTTCCAGCGAAATTAAGCTTCAGGATGGAAGATGAAATTAAAACCTTCCACGATAAACAAAAGTTAAAAGAATTTGCAGCTAGAAAACCATCTCTTCAAAACATCCTTGGCAAAACATTACAGGAAGAGGAAATGGAAAATAACAATGAAAACCAACAGTGGGAGGTAGGACACTAAAGGGGGGAAAATAATCAAAGTGGAAAACAAACCATGTTTAGTAACATAAATAAACAAATATGGCTGGAAGAACAACCCATATCTCAATAATAACCCTAAATGTTAATGGCTTAAACTCACCAATCAAGAGACACAGGCTAGTAGAATGGATCACAAAACAAGACCCAACAATATGCTGCCTACAGGAGACGCATTTGATAGGAAAAGACATACATAGGCTGAAGGTGAAAGGTTGGGAAAAATCATATCACTCATATGGACTGCGGAAACAAGCAGGAGTATCCATACTCATATCAAATAAAATAGATTTTAAGCCAAAGTTAATCAAAAGGGATAAAGAGGGACACTACATACTGCTCAAGGGAACCATACACCAACAAGACATAACAATCATAAATATATATGCCCCAAACAATGGTGCAGCTATGTTCATCAAACAAACTCTTCTCAAGTTCAAGAGTCTAATAGACCACCATACAATAATCATGGGAGACTTCAACACACCTCTCTCACCACTGGACAGATCTTCCAAACAAAAGTTGAATAAGGAAACTATAGAACTCAATAACACAATTAATAACCTAGACTTAATTGACATATATAGAATATACCACCCAACATCAAGCAGTTACACTTTTTTCTCAGCAGCACATGGATCCTTCTCAAAAATAGATCATATATTATGTCACAGGGCAACTCTTAGACAATATAAAGGAGTAGAGATAATACCATGCATCTTATCTGATCATAATGGAATGAAACTGAAAATCAACGATAAAAGAAGGAAGGAAAAAGCATACATCACTTGGAGAATGAACAATAGGTTACTGAATGATCAATGGGTTATAGAAGACATCAAGGAGGAAATTAAAAAATTCTTAGAGATAAATGAAAACACAGACACAACATATCGGAATCTATGGGACACATTGAAAGCAGTTCTAAGAGGAAAATTCATTGCTTGGAGTTCATTCCTTAAAAAAAGAAAAAACCAACAAATAAATGATCTCATACTTCATCTCAAAATCCTAGAAAAAGAAGAGCAAAACAACAGCAAAAGAAGTAGAAGGCAAGAAATAATTAAAATCAGAGCTGAAATCAATGAAATCGAAACAAAAGAAACAATTGAAAAAATTGACAAAACTAAAAGTTGGTTCTTTGAAAAAATAAACAAAATCGACAGACCCTTAGCCATGCTAGCGAAGAGAAGAAGAGAGAGAACTCAAATCACTAACATACGGGATGAAAGAGGCAATATCACAACAGACACTTCAGAAATACAGAAGATAATCAAAAATTATTTTGAATCCTTATACTCCAATAAATTAGAAGATAGTGAAGGCATAGATAAATTTCTTAAGTCATATGATCTGCCCAGATTGAGTCAGGAGGATATAGACAACCTAAACAGACCAATATCAATTGAGGAAATAGAAGAAACCATCAAAAGACTACCAACTAAGAAAAGCCCAGGACCGGATGGGTATACAGCAGAGTTTTACAAAACCTTTAAAGAGGAACTAATACCAATACTTTTCAAGCTACTTCGGGAAATAGAAAAAGAGGGAGAACTTCCAAATTCATTCTACGAGGCCAACATCACCCTGATACCTAAACCAGACAAAGACACTTCAAAGAAAGAAAACTACAGACCAATATCTCTAATGAACCTAGATGCAAAAATCCTCAATAAAATTCTGGCGAATCGGATACAAAAACATATCAAAAAAATTGTGCACCATGATCAAGTAGGATTCATCCCTGGGATGCAAGGCTGGTTCAATATACGGAAATCAATAAATGTTATTCACCACATCAATAGACTTAAAAATAAGAACCATATGATCATCTCGATAGATGCGGAAAAAGCATTCGACAAAGTACAGCATCCCTTTATGTTCAAAACTCTAGAAAAACTAGGGATAACAGGAACATACCTCAATATTGTAAAAGCAATCTATGCTAAGCCTCAGGCTAGCATCATTCTGAATGGAGAAAAATTGAAGGCATTCCCTCTAAAATCTGGAACAAGACAGGGATGCCCTCTCTCTCCACTTCTGTTCAACATAGTTCTCGAAACACTGGCCAGAGCAATTAGACAGATGAAAGAAATTAAAGGCATCAAAATAGGAAAAGAAGAACTTAAATTATCACTATTTGCAGATGACATGATTCTATACCTAGCAGACCCAAAAGGGTCTACAAAGAAACTATTAGAGCTAATAAATGAATTCAGCAAAGTGGCAGGATATAAAATCAACACGCATAAATCAAAGGCATTCCTGTATATCAGCGACAAATCCTCTGAAATGGAAATGAGGACAACCACTCCATTCACAATATCTTCAAAAAAAATAAAATACTTGGGAATCAACCTAACAAAAGAGGTGAAAGACTTATACAATGAAAACTACAGAACCCTAAAGAGAGAAATAGAAGAAGATCTTAGAAGATGGAAAAATATACCCTGTTCATGGATAGGCAGAACTAACATCATCAAAATGGCGATATTACCAAAAGTTCTCTATAGGTTTAATGCAATGCCAATCAAAATCCCAACGGCATTTCTTGTAGAAATAGAGAAAGCAATCATGAAATTCATATGGAAAAATAAAAGACCCAGAATAGCAAAAACAATGCTAAGCAGGAAGTGTGAATCAGGCGGTATAGCGATACCAGACTTCAAACTATACTACAGAGCAATAGTAACAAAAACAGCATGGTACTGGTACCAAAACAGGCGGGTGGACCAATGGTACAGAATAGAGGACACAGAAACCAATCCACAAAACTACAACTATCTTATATTTGATAAAGGGGCTAAAAGCATGCAATGGAGGAAGGATAGCATCTTCAACAAATGGTGCTGGGAAAACTGGAAATCCATATGCAACAAAATGAAACTGAATCCCTTTCTCTCGCCATGCACAAAAGTTAATTCAAAATGGATCAAGGAGCTTGATATCAAATCAGAGACACGCCGTCTGATAGAAGAAAAAGTTGGCTACGATCTACATACGGTGGGGTCGGGCTCCAAATTCCTCAATAGGACACCCATAGCACAAAAGTTAATAACTAGAATCAACAAATGGGACTTACTCAAACTAAAAAGTTTTTTCTCAGCAAAAGATACAATAAGAGAGGTAAATAGAGAGCCTACATCCTGGGAACAAATCTTTACTCCTCACACTTCAGATAGAGCCCTAATATCCAGAGTATACAAAGAGCTCAAAAAATTAGACAATAAGAGAACAAACAACCCAATCAACAAATGGGCCAAGGACCTGAACAGACACTTCTCAGAGGAGGACATACAATCAATCAACAAGTACATGAAAAAATGCTCACCATCTCTAGCAGTCAGAGAAATGCAAATCAAAACCACCCTAAGATACCATCTCACTCCAGTTAGATTGGCAGCCATTATGAAGTCAAACAACAACAAGTGCTGGCGAGGATGTGGGGAAAAGGGTACACTTGTACATTGCTGGTGGGACTGCAAATTGGTGCAGCCAATTTGGAAAGCAGTATGGAGATTTCTTGGAAAGCTGGGAATGGAGCCACCATTTGACCCAGCTATTCCCCTTCTCGGTCTATTCCCTAAAGACCTAAAAAGAGCATGCTACAGGGACACTGCTACATCGATGTTCATAGCAGCACAATTCACAATAGCTAGACTGTGGAACCAACCTAGATGCCCTTCAATGGATGAATGGATAAAAAAAATGTGGCATTTATACACAATGGAGTATTACTCTGCATTAAAAAATGACAAAATCATAGAATTTACAGGAAAATGGATGGCATTAGAGCAGATTATGCTAAGTGAAGCTAGCCAATCCCTAAAAAACAAATGCCAAATGTCTTCTTTGATATAAGGAGAGTAACTAAGAACAGAGTAGGGTCGAAGAGCATGAGAAGAAGATTAACATTAAACAGGGATGAGAGGTGGGAGGGAAAGGGAGAGAGAAGGGAAAATGCATGGAAATGGAAGGAGACCCTCAGAGGTATACAAAAGTACATACAAGAGGAAGTGAGGGGAAGGGGAAAAATAATACAAGGGGGACAAACGAATGTCAGTAAAGGGGGCAGAGAGAGAAGAGGGGAGGGGAGGGGAGGGGGGATAGTAGAGGATAGGAAAGACAGCAGAATACAACAGACACTAGTATGGCAATATGTAAATCAATGGATGTGTAACTGATGTGATTCTGCAATCTGTATATGGGGTAAAAATGGGAGCTCATAACCCACTTGAATCAAATTGTGAAATATGATATATCAAGAACTATGTAATGTTTTGAACAGCCAACAATAAAAAATTTAAAAAAAAAAAGAATGTAGCTCAGTGGTTGAATGCATGTCTAGTATGAGGGAAGCCCTGGGTTCAATTCCCCAGTACCCCCCAAAACAAAACAAAAAAACCCTAAACAAACCATAAAAGACATGAATAACAGAATGAAAAGTTTTATATCAGAGTTTGAAGAGGAAGAGAGGAAAGAATCAAATATATAATGGATGAGAATTTTAAAAACTATGAAAAATGTTATAAATTCTCAGAGTTAAGAGTAATAAAAATTTCAAGAAAGTTAAAATAAAAAAAAATTACACCTAGGTAACTCATTGTGAACTGAAATATATCAAAGAATCTAAAAAAGCAGCCAGGGAGGGGCTGGGGTTGTGGCTCAGAGGTAGAGCACCTGCCTTACAGGTGCAAGGGCCTGGGTTCGATCCTCAGCACCACATAAAAATAAATAAATTAAAAATAAAGGTATTGTGTCCAACTACAACTAAAAAGTGATTTTTTTTTTAAAAAAGCAGCCAATGAAATGACAGACTACATACAAAGTTATCAGCAATTACATTAAAGCAATATTCTTAACAATGGAAGCAAACACTAAGGAAAAATAACTGCCAACTAGTCATTCTATCATTCAAGAACTATGGTAAAATAAAGATGTTTTCAAATGAACAGAAACTCAAAGTATGAACTACCAAGAGACACCTATGACAACAACTTCCAAAGGATTTCTTCAGGAAGAATAATAAGGGTGCCAGAAAGGACATTGGAGATGAAAAAAGAAATGGTGAGTAAAGCCAAGTAGTAGAGAAGACAAATAATAACTTGATTTGTGAAATGAAAAAAATTAAAACAGGGTATGATATGACAACTTGTAAAATGGGAAGGAAGAGGTGATAGGAAAGAAAACTATTCTAAGATCCTATCTTTCAGAAAAAAGATAGGAACTCCGATTAGTTTTAGATTTTAGGTAGGCATGTCAAAAATTTCAAAGACAAAATCCAGCTGTATAGGTCATTTACAAGGTATCTAAAACACAAGTAAAAGGTGGAAAGAAGATCTATCAAGCAAATGCTAACTAAAGGAAAGATATTTTATTAATATGTAAAACATCAACCTGAAATTCTTCACATATTTTTGGGACATAAAAACTTATATTAAGATAGTTAAGGGGGGGCTGGGATTGTGGCTCAGTGGTAGAGCACTTGCCTAGCATGTGTGAGGCCCTGGGTTCGATCCTCAGCACCACATAAAAATAAATAAATAAATAAAGATATATTGTGTCCAACTACAGTTAAAAAAAAATTAAATGTTGTGGATCACCATATGAAAAGCAAAAGGGGCAATTTGATACTTGGGTCTTAACACTACAATGGAAAATTCATTTCACTCACCTTTTTGGTTTTTTTAGTATCCTTATTTGGTGTTGATTCACTAACTTCCGAAGCTTCTGAAGAACTGCTCTTTGCACGATCATACACCCATCCTACAATTGAATACAGTTAAAAATATTGTTCCAACTGATGAGGAAAAGAAAAAAGCTGTTTACTTCAGCAAACTCTATTGACCTTGACTTATAGGGTAATATAAAAAACAGCTCACCACTGGACAATGTCTATATAGTTGTAGTTCCTAAAAAGGTGAGTTAAGGTTAAATGCCCAGAATGACCTGACCAGTATTGAAATGTTTCAGTGATCTGTATCTAAATATAGTCACAAAGGTAATAGAAAAAGTTAGAGAAGACTTCTGTAAAAACATAAATCACTTTTTAAAACTTAGCCTAGTTATATTTAGATTCTTTGTACTCAAATGGACGTGTTATTTTAGGGTGTTTCAAATTTTCAAATTAATCCACATATTATGTGGTTGAATAACAATCTTTAAAGTACACTTATAAAGCATGCTAATATTTTAACATTATAGACTTCTTACAGCTTATATTTAATTTCTTTTCTTTTTTGGGAGGATAACAGGGATTGAACTCAGGGGCACTCGACCACTGAAACACATCCCCAGCCCTATTTTTTTTTTTTTTTTAATTTAAAGACTTTAGCGCCTCACTTTTGCTGAGACTGACGTTGAACTAGTGATCCTCCTGCCTCAGCTTCCTGAGCCGCCAGGATTACAGGCATGCACCACTGCGCCTGGCTTAATTTCTTTTTGACACTATTGGCTATATGCTAAAAATATTTAAGAGGTGATAAATACTTTAACATTTTGCTTAAAATATTCTAAAACTTACTACTCTTTTTGTAGAAGTTAGAAGGACAAAAGGATTAAAAAAACCCTATTCCTTCCCTTGCTTAAGTTTAGATCAGATAGGCAGTATTACGGACAGGTTTTTTTTTTTTTTTAACTGATTGACTAATTGTGATACTGGGGATGGCATCCAGGGCCTTGAGCATACTATGCAAGCACTCTACCACTGACCCACATCCCCAGCCCATGCACAGTTATATTTAATGAGAACATGATTAAAATCACACCCTGGTGTAGAGGTATTAAAACATAATGTAGGGACCATGAAGCAAAATCACAGATGATTTGGGTCTAGAAAATGTAGGTCTTTTTTTTTTTTTAGTCTAATTTTTAAACTTTATTTAAAAAGCTAGAAAAGTTATTTTCAACACATTTCTCCACATATAATAACAGGGCAAGGAAGTAGTATGCTAAAAGAACAAGCTTAGATAATTTTATTATTTTAATGTTGGATCTGTTGAATTTTTTTTTAAAAAAGTACCAGTAATACAAATAGCATTAATGAAGATTTCTTTCATCACATTGTTTTGATAATATTATTAATATAAGTGTATGTTGCATCCTTCACAATTATAAACTACTTATATATATTTTGCTTTTTATTCCTACCATAAATCTGTGCATGTTTCTCACTTAAAAGGAGGAAACTACAATGATTCACAATGATTTCCAGTGTTCTTCATTATTATTGGTACCTTAATACTGAGGGATAATTTGAGGTTTTGTAGAAAATAGGGCAAGATGTAATGTTTGTTTTTTCTACTGGAGAAAAAAAAAGCATGATACCTTTATCAGAAGTGAGAATAATCCTGGATTTTTTTTTTCAGGTGCTGGGGATCAAACCCAGGGCCTTGCCCAGCCTAAGCATATCCTCTGCCACTGAACCATATCTCCAGCCCTGCTCTGATATTTTTTAAAGTACCATACTGATACAATATTTCACTACTATCAGTAAAATATTAATTACAACATGCTTCACAGTTAAAGGCTAAAGCTAAAATCTTCTGCTCTATACCATCTCCAATTTCTTTTTTTTTAAAATTTTTTATTGTTGGTTGTTCAAAACATTACAAATTTCTTGATATATCATATTTCACACTTTGATTCAAGTGGGTTATGAACTCCCATTTTTACCCCATATACAGATTGCAGAATCACATCAGTTACACATCCATTGATTTACATATTGCCATACTAGTGTCTGTTGTGTTCTGCTGCCTTTCCTATCCTCTACTATCCCCCTCCCCTCCCCTCCCCTCCCCTCTTCTCTCTCTGCCCCCTCTACTGTCATTCATTTCTCCCCCTTGTATTATTTTTCCCTTTCCCCTCACTTCCTCTTGTATGTACTTTTGTATAACCCTGAGGGTCTCCTTCCATTTCCATGCAATTTCCCTTCTCTCTCCCTTTCCCTCCCACCTCTCATCCCTGTTTAATGTTAATCTTCTTCTCCTGCTCTTCGTCCCTACTCTATTCTTAGTTACTCTCCTTATATCAAAGAAGACATTTGGCATTTGTTTTTTAGGGATTGGTTAGCTTCACTTAGCATAATCTGCTCTAATGCCATCCATTTCCCTGCAAATTCTATGATTTTGTCATTTTTTAATGCAGAGTAATACTCCATTGTGTATAAATGCCACATTTTTTTTATCCATTCGTCTATTGAAGGGCATCTAGGTTGGTTCCACAGTCTTGCTATTGTGAATTGTGGGTCTAGAAAATGTAGGTCTTGAGGGCGGTGACAATCTGCTCTATTCTGTGGCACCTGTTCTCTAATGCCAATAGCCTGGCTTGGGAAAGGACTTCTTTTCAATGCTCATGAAAGGTCAGAGACTCAGGTCTGGACCCCGGGCGGAATAACTGAATGGCCACAGGGACTCTTGGCCAACATAACATGGGTAAAGAGATCCACAGTGCTCACCATAGATATAAACTGGGATTTGGGGCAAAATCTCAACTTAATAATACTGATTGAGTTGGAAAAAAATAGGGAGTAAAAAAAGCTGTCCTAAATCCCTGAACACTGACACATGAATACACACGAGTACAGTGAATATCTGCATATGAAAGAGCTGTGGTAGTTATAAATGAGAACAGATAAGGGTGTGTTACATATTTCATAACTTGCTATGAGGGTCCTCTGACAGAAATATAAAAAGCGGGGGCTGGGGTTTTGGCTCAGTGGTAGAGCGCTTGTCTAGCACGTGCGAGGTACTGAGTTTGGTCCTCATAAAAATTAGTAAAATAAAGGCATGTGTCCAACTACAACTGAAAAAAAAAATTTTAAAAAAGGAATGTATGTATTATAGTACTCAATCATGGTGCATGCGCAAACACACACACACATACATGTTCATATGTATGTATGTTATGTATCTAGATTTTTTAAAATTATGCTTTTGAAGTGAAGTATGCTCATACCTTTTGGATTTTCATTGTATTCACGAATGGCCCGTTCCTCTAGGTTGACTTTTTTCTCCTATAAATAACAAAGAAACATATGACAAAAAACATTTATGTGGTGGTAGAAAACTTAGTCTTAGTTTTAAAGCAGGGTTCTAGAGCAAGCCTTTATAATGACTTAAATGTGTGACAATCACTTAACTTTACTGGGCTCTTGTAAAATGGGGCGTTTTAGATGTTAACTGCTAATATCCTCCTAGCTCATAACTGTATGATATACATATATATGGATATATATTTATATATATCATACCTACATATATCATACTATATATTATATATAATTATATAGCATATATATTATATACATTACATACATATAATATATATGCTATACAATTAAAGAATTCTCAAAGAAGATTCAGGAATACCAATTGGTATATGACTTGTCTTAATACTTTAAAATGTCAAATTGGTGTTTAATGATTCTACATTAAAAACTTTTAGGGACCATCCTAACTTGAACTCATAAATGTTCTCTATGAACAGAATCATTTTCCCCTTCTGAAAGAAAACAAATAACTGCTAGAACATTTTTTTTCCTCAGTGTGAGGAAGGAGTCTTAGAAAAAGAAGGAACCAGTGAAGAGAATGACCTCTGTAGAACAGTGATATTTTGTTAAGTTAAAAGTACATGCATATAAAACAAGGCATGTTTCACAACTACACATTCAAATAAAGGACAGATATGATTCAGTAGTTGTCTACATTAGGGAAAAGGGAGACAGGCAGAGGCCTAAAAGGGAATGAATTTAAATAAGAGAGAAGACCTTGGGTACAGAGCAAGGATGAGAGTGTTTCAGCTATAGGCAAGACTAACTCATGTTCTTCATGAGAGTCCCAAAAGCGCAAATGAATTAATACAATGTCATTTAGTTTTGGGTTTCAGAATTCTGTGCCTCTGAAATGAATCCACAGTACTGTTAGCAAAACAAATGATTTCAAACTTACCAACTGTCTCCTAGCAAGGTCATTCTCAGACAAAACCACCAAATGCAGATTATATTTTTGGAATTTCTAGTTCCACTTTCAGGATAGTCTTTGTTTCCTCAGTGATTCTCCCTCTTATTTCTCCTACATATACTTTTGTCTAGAGTGCATCTAAGGAAGAACTGATCGCAACCTCAGATACTGCTGTGACCAACTTTCTTTGCCTATATACATATACGTGTGTGTGTGTGTGTGTGTGTGTATATATATGTATATATATGTATGTATGTGTATATATATATATATATATATATATATATATATATATATATATTTATTTATTTATCTCCCATTTCTGCCACCAGCACGAGACTCCTAACTTTGCATTTCAGACTGGGTGCCCAACTTTTTGGCTCACTTCCCAACAATGTACTATTGTGGCCCATACAAATTTATTTCCACTCATGTAGGGAACAGAATGCAAATATGCTCTAGATGTTTGCTTGACTCATAAACTAGCCAAAGCCTTTTCCTGGCACATAAATGAAGTTATTCACAGAACTATTTCTGTTCCCAAAGGAAACTGTAATCTTCCCTGCAGGGACCAGAGGACCCCCATGCTTCTCTTTGGCATGATCTCAGGACTTAAGCATCCATCATCATACCTCTGTATCAACTGCAGCTGGGCTGTCATGGATACTGTTCAACTTCTCTGTTTCACCATGGTCATCTGCAGAAATACTCTCATCACTTCCTACAGATTTCTTTTCTTCCGTCAGATATTTGTCATTAATATCCTTATTAATGTCTTCTGATTCTGTTTCAGTTTCTGAAGATTCCTCATTCTGTGACAAAATTGATCATCAGAGAAGAGTAAGAATTTCTTTTTTAAAAATTAGAGATTTGATACAGCTGTCATAAATAATTCATACCACCTAAAAGAACATGTAGCAAATAAAATCACATACAGAAGCTGAAAAAATAAAATACTGTATAATCCATGATGAATATCAAGTTACTGTATTTTATGCATGCTTCTCTATTTCAATTACTAAGATTCCCAAAATTCTATTAGTACCTATGGCAAGGTTAAAATGGGAAAAAATGAAATTCATTTTCTTAACTGTCTCCAGAGTGCTTTTAAACTTGAGAAGTTAAAAAGCTTTTTATTTACTATAGCAGCATAACATTATTATGTTCATTTTCTAAGACATAGGGATTTAGAATTCCTCCAGTGGTCCAATTCACTGATATTCCATAAGAGAGGCAAGTATAACTATTTACATTTCAGGCAAAAAGATAAAAGGACATAGTTTAAATGCTTTGCTCTTGGTTATTAAAAACAAAGGGAAACCCAACTGGAGACAGAATTTGGTTTATCTGGCTACTATTCACCCAATCCAAATTATAAAACACCCAGTGCAAGGATCAAACAGATGGTTAATAAATCATATAATGATATTAAGAAAAGACATAAAATATTAATTTTAGTCTTTGTTCTATACTGAACAGGTTAGGTAGGGTTAACCATGAGGTAGATACCACTTACCAAAGACTTCTAAAACTTTTTTTCTGCATGCTTTCCCTCTAAGTGTATTATATGGTATATTATGCCTAGCCATATACACATTGTGGGTAGTTAACATTATCAGGGACAACTTCACTTTGAAAGGGAATAAGAAGCAAGGCTACTAGATCAAAGGGTAATGGGTGATAAATAGATATATTCATAAATATATATAAATGAAAGGCTAACTAGAAATAACAGTGCTCCTGAGAAATAGAATTCCAGGCTATGCCCCCCATGCCTCCACCCCCATCTCACAGAGGGAGGGTCAGTGAGCAGTGTTCCCAGAATAATCCTCACCTGGAGAGTCCGGCTAATCTAGCACCTGGGTCAACTCCAATCAGGCTTGTTAACTAAGGTATTAATGTCATCATAGGATAAGAGCATACTATTATAAAAAGGGATTTGGAGTTTTACCTTATTTAAAAATAAGCAAAACACAGCATCTGTTATAATGAATTACAATCTTACTCATTAACTAAGAAAATCTATAATAATAAAACTTTTGGAACTGCATCATTTTCTAAAATTTGAGAAAGCTATTAGAAAATGACATTGTTCACTAAAAATTACATCAATTGTAAGACTTTGAGCTTACTAAGCACATTTAAATTATTCTATACACATCTGGACAACTAGTTTAAATCACAGAAAGCACTTTACCTTCAAACTGAAACAATTTAGGAGAGATTGGCAGAATACTGTCATTTTATAAAAAGAAAGGGTGAAGTTTAAGCACATTCTTGGCACTAGAACCATATAAGGCATGTAAGGTAGTCTGAAATGGTCAAGTATGTGTCTTATGTTAGGACATCAGTAAAGAAGCAAGTGGGCCTTGACCTCTTGGTTCAGACACAGCACAATAAGCTGAAGTCTTTGGTGTGGTTCCAGGTAACATTTAAAAAAATATTTCTGATGGAGATTATCAAGAAAGCCAACATTCCTTATAAGTTTCAGTTTGTATAAGAATATAATTACAGGGCTCGGGGTGTAGCTCAGTGGTAGAGTGCTTGCCTAGCATATGTGAGGACCTGGGTTCAATTACCTGTATTTTTAAATACCAGGACATTAAAAAATCTACATTGCATATTTTAAGAACTAGAGATTGGTGTCAGAAATCAGCATAGTGGTTACCCTTGGGGGGGGGGAATGGTAAAAGACTGGAAGGGAGCTTCTGGGGAGTTGATAGTATGCTTTTTCTTGATTTGGATGCTGATTAGTTTGTAACGTGTGTTCAGTTTGTGAAAAATACATTGAACTATGTATGTATGGGATATGCATTTTGTGTATAGTATAGTTTTATACAGTTAAAAGAACCCTAAATTACACAAAATTATAAAGCATAAAATTCTGTGCTATAATTCTGTATTTGTGATATGCTTCCATGTCACTCAGTGAACTTTTTCCAAATAGGTTATTATAGCCCTAAACATTTGCATCTTAAGTTATATCTGTCAGGAAAATGTCTTTATTTTTAAACTTTAAGTTCAGGGTTTTTTTAAGGATAAGTTTTGTTTTTTTCTTTGTGTGTTTGGGTGTGTGTCTGTATGGCACTGGGGACTGAACCAGGGCCTTGTGCATGCTAGGCACATGCTCTACCACTGAGTTACACCCCAAGCCTTCATGTTTTAACTACACTAGAAATTACCAAGGTAGTAGTGAGGAAGTAGGAAGGACATTAAATACAAAGGTTTAAGCACTGTTTTCTAAGCCTTATTCTATCACTCACGGCCTCAGCATGACACCTAATCAATGTACTTTACAGGCTATCTGTAAAATGGGAAAATAACATTAGCAACACCTTATTCGGAGTGTTTGCGTAAAGATTAAAAAGACTACTTACACAAAAATAACATGAGTAAATAGTGTATATATTGTACATAAATATTAGTTATTTTATACAGGTCCCTCCATAAAGAATATTTCTAGTGTGCACTGAGGACTGGCAAAAAATAAGAAAGTTGGACATTTTTTTCCCTTATGTCCTAGATCTTGTCATTACAAAATAGTTTATTTAAAGTACCCTTATATTTATTCTACCCTCATCCATACATCCTTTTCTTCTGAGCCAGGAGTCCTGCAGCTAAGCATATGAGAAGGCAGCTGCATACCTGTTAGAAGTATCCATGGGACCTTAGCAAATTGGGGGTGTGTCAGTCTTGACTCTACTTCAGGCTAGGGTTGCCCCAGAGAATGATGCTCCTAGGCACTCAGTCTTTCCAAGCGAAGTCCAACTAATATTTCAACATTGGCAACCAATCCAAATTTTTAAAAAATCACTGTGTACATAGGGCAGATCACACTCATGGGCTACCAGTTGTGACTTCCAAATTCTTGTCTTGATACCATTTTAAAATCTCTTAAGTCTTCCTTCTTTCTAGGCACCAATCTCTTATTCCATTCTTAATTCTGTATTTTAATTGCTGAATGTATTGTAATTTAACTCTGAAAGATACAGACCTTCCTGCTGATTGGCATTTTCAGATTTATTCTTTATTTCCCTCTCTTTTTCTTTAGACAATTTATTTCCTTTTTGTATCTTAGACAAATATATGATGCATGATCATACTTTCTGTGCTAATTACTTTATATAATTTGACAATAATGTTGGTACACAGGAAAATCTGTTGTGTGACAGCACTAACACCTACATTTTAGGTTAACCACTCGAGTGTGATCAGCCTTTCACTGCACTTCAAACATGGAGGGGGACCCATGTAATGGTGTATAAAAGTAGTTTCACTCCACCTCTTGCTAAAGGGTTATCAATATTATAATCTAATTTATTCCCAAAGATCTATTCCCATAAGTCATTTTTGGTTGGTATATTGTATTTAAACAAAAGCCAAGTTCATAGGACTAAACTCATGCACATCAGTCAGTGACTTGAAAATTCCTGACTGTACCTTTGTGTGTGACTTGGTATGATCAGAAACGATAATTACAGTGATACAGAATACTATTGCTGAGCGCCCATAACATACTTCATGTACTAAGTACTTTGATCAAAGGACCCCTCCTTTATTAAAAGAGGAAATAAGACTCAGAAAGGTAAACAAAACAATAACTAGAAACCTTTTCCAGGGACGCAGGGCTAATCAGTGGAAGGCTGAGATTTGAATTCAGGTCTGGACCCTAGAACCCGTATTATTTCCCAACTCTTCCCAAATAATTTGAAGATCATATGGGCTGCCCTCACAACTATTTTTCCCCTCCAACACTGATATTTAAAGTATCACAGACTCTTCTTGTGGTTCATAAGATCCTGCCAATAACATTCTTATGTACCACTGTACAAATTATTAAACAAAAATTTAGAATATTTTCCTCAAAGTATCCAAGTCTTCAGAATATATATTTCCCTTTCTAAACTGATAAATATGCCAGGAGCACTCTATGCCTGATATTTATATTTTTAAGTTTAGAACTGATTCCATTCCTTGCAAATGTCCCTGTCTTCATCCTCCCGATCTTATTCCAGGCCCTCTTCATTCTTTGTCTGGTTACAACAACTGCCTCTTAACTGGGACTCCCAACTCATCCTGTCCTCTTCAAATCCATCTTCCATATTGCTACTAGAATGATCACACAAAAAACCTTTAACATCTTGGTTAACAAACATATCAGGCCCTTTGCCTCTTTATTTCTAAGACCAAAGTATACCCTAGGCTGTCATTACTTCAAACATTCTCATGACTCTCATCAGCCTGGAAAGTCCTCATATCTCCTTGACTTGTTTACCTGATTGTTTTATTTGACATGACTCAGTTCAAGTTTTCCCACTTGTTCCTAGGAAGCTCTTTCCTAACCATTGTCTAGCAGCTGAACTTCCATGCCAAACACTAAGTTCCCATTCAGACTACAGAGTTCCTTGAGATCAGGAACCACATCTTACTCCCTGCATACCCAAAACATGAAAACCTTTTCTTCTTACTCATTAAGTAATTTAATGGAAGAAAAAAGTCATAGAGTTGTTTTGGGGGTCATATTTTTGTCTGGGCAGTCCTGGCAAAGAACACAGGGGTACCGGGAAACAAATAGCACAGTTAAGAAACAGTTAAGGCAGAGCTGCCTTGGTGTTCCCTGATGTCCTTTGGAGAAATATATACCTAAAGTCCCCGAGAGCTAAGAGGGCCACAAGAGGTGGATTGTAAACTGTTCTCACTTTTTGAGATTGACCTGACTTGGGGAAGCTTCCGTTGCTTTTTGGTGTTTGGTACATAAGTATTTGTTGAATGAATAGGTACCAAATATTAAGCCATGATTCAGGTACTGGAACTGAATTTGCACAATGAAAAGAATAAAGGAAGGAACTACAGCACCTTCTTCTGGGTGCACATTTTATTTTTTATATACACATGAAGAGCAGTTTATCTCTATCATGAATTAACAAAAGACATTTCAATTGCACTCACCTCAAGTGCTGCTGTTCAGCAGCAGCAGGTGCTTCTGCCAGTACTCCTCAGCAGCTTACCTTAAAAAGTCTTTTTCTGCCAAAGTCCTTATTAGGAAATAGTAACTCAATGGATTCTACATATATAACTTATACTTCCCTCAGTAATGACCAGTGATAAGCTATAGTAAAAGCTCAAGAAACCAGCAGATAGGAATGATAAAGAAGCAACCAGTGATTTTAATCTAGGTAACCAAGTGTTAATTCATGAGGGGCAATGTGGTCTCATTCTTAACTTCCTTTCCTTTCTCTCCTTATCTTTATATAATATTTACAAATATGCAATTTATATATATAATATTTATAAATAATCAAATCCCTTCTATTCATAAAGGTCTCGGTTCTTTTACCCACACCATCCCACCACTAACTAGCAACAAACTCCCTTCCATAAACTTCAGAGGGCAGGAGGCCTGCCACATACATGATTAAATAAATGTTCATTGAGTAGTGGGCACTGAAAGTTTGCATGCTTAGTTTAGTCTAACTGTTAGTATGCTTGAAGGTGGGATGATTTTGGTGATTGAGACTTTTTTTCTGAGAAAAAGAGATACCAGCAATTCTGGTTCTGACAAAGCTGTAGTTGGTAAGGAACACTTAGCATTCCTATAGAATTACTTAACTTGCCCATTCTAATTCCATACTTTTCCAGGTAAAGAAACCAAAGCCTGAAAAGGTTAAAAAAAAAACTGGCTCAAATTCATATAGCTTTAAAGTACAAATCTAGAAGCAGGGCCTTGGCCTCAAAATGACTAGTATACTGATTTTGACCAGAACATTATCCCTATAGAAACTACTGCTTCTAAGTTTTTGGCCATGGAAATGGAAAGAAATGGTAAGAAATGTTGTCTAAAAGTGGATATCCAGACCAGCTGAAATACTAATACGTGCACACATTAGAACATGATTTCAGTATTGCTGGCCGGTTATCTCTTAATTGGAAGATTGCTGGGAGCCATTAGCCAAGTAGGTATGACAATTTCCTTGCCAGTGTACCCCATTTTGCAGTGACATTACATGTAGGTGACCTTGCTCAAGGACCAGGGCGGATTAGGATGTTCCCAGTTTAGGATAATCGGGTTTAGGGCGTTCCAGGTTTAAGATTATTCCTGCTGGGAATAGGGCGTATCCTGCTGCCTGAGTTCCCCTTGAGTTCTCACGGGATTCAGACAGTATATTTTGGGAGATAGAAGCCCAGTGGAGGTGGATTTTGGGCAGAGAACGTGGATTTCCCCAGAACGTGATTGTAGACGGCTGGTGTGAGTTCAGGAATAAAGAGTTGCTGTTTGAATCTACAAGCTGTGTGGTGGCTCGTGATTTTGTGCCCAGCCAGACTGCGGCAGAAGATGAATGCCGCTACCTTTAAGTTTAGTAACTTGAGTTTAGAGTTTCTCATCTCCCTTGAGTTCCTTTATGGGCTTCCTTTTGAACTCTGTCTCTATCATCCATCTTACTTAATCACTTTAAGTCTACTTTTTCAATAACCATGTTTGGCACATAAATTTTATTACAGTATTATTAATCCCACTTCTCAAACACTTAATGAATGTGGTAGAATTTGGTTGAGGGCTGCAATGCCAAATCAATGTATTTGGTTAGATATGGGAAGTTACCAGAGATTCCAGCAGTTAAGAGACAATTTATAGCTGTTTCTAGAAAATTCTTCACTTTGATTCTAGTCTTTCTTCTCTTTTTCATTTTTACCTAAGAGAATCGAATGTGCAAAGTATTCATCTACACAAATTTCATAGGAAGTTTACCATCAAAATCTTCTTTGATTAAAATATAAGAAATCCCTCATGTCCAAAATATGGAAGTGACTGGGAAAGGAAATCAGTTGAAAAGGGAGCAATAAATACACAACAATCAAACTAACTGCATTTTATACACTGAAAATTTATGGGAAGACTAAAATTACTCTAGTGGAAATTAGTCTAAATCTACTTTAGCCTCTTTAAAATTCAATATCTAGTACTAGACAGTTTCTTTTCACACACAATTACTGACTGTATACATTAAATCTTTATTTTACTGGAAACATCCTGATATGCAATAGACAAACTGAGAATTACAGGATAGTCAATGAAGAGTACATACAGGGCAGGTAACAGACACTGAGTTCGAAGGTTCTGACAGTATAGTTAGAGCTCAGAAATGATAGTTTAGAAATACAGAAGACAAGAGACATTAAAGCCAACAAAACTTGTTAAGAGAAGAAAACAAAAATTTATAAAAACTTAAGTTAACTTTAAAGTATATATTTTTCTTCCTTAAAAACTTATTATACAAATAACAAAAACAATAGAGCAAATCTGCTTGTCAGAATGGAAAGAATGTTAAGAATTAGAAAAGACCATAGTTATATCATCTCATCCACTCTATTTCATGAATGAGGAAATGAGCTTACTGAATCACTTTGCCCATCTGATAAACACTTAAAAGTTATACATACTTTCAGATTACACATTTAAGTAAATCTCCATTTTATTAGGTATACTAATGAAATGGAGAGCTCAATTAGGATGTAAGCCCTGAACATAGCTGTCACTTTGTAGACACAGACTGAAAAATATGTGCTAACATACGTATAAGAACTCAGAAATTCTGATAGCCCTTAAGAATCTATACTATTTTTTAATGGTCTGATTATTAATACAAACAAAATACTCTTGCAGTATATTTCTATTTCCAAAATGTGACTTAATGATGAAAATATAATGTCAATTATCTGTTATGGTCTTTTAATATTTTCTGGTTATAAATTTATAATTTGGGGCAAAACTACAATGAGATGCCAGTTTAGAAGAAACTAATTTTGCAGTGCCCTCCTTCTGCCTTTGACCCCTTAACACAACCTGCATCAGTTGCTTCTTTACCACATGTAAAATAACCACAATACAAAATCAGTTTTTAGTAAAATGAGTGCCAATCGCATGCAAGGTGTTCAAATGATTTAGCTGGCCATAATCAGGTCAAATTTAAAGTCTATTACTTTAATTCCAAATAATGTGGTAATACATTATTCCAGAATTTTTTGGAACCTGGTGGCCCATTCTCTAAAAGTTGTTTTGACTGCACTGGCCTTTTGAACCTCTGCTCTTTCCCCTTTCCCTGTGAGTTAGTAACAGACTTTTTTTGATATGTTCTATGTCTGTCACATTTCATAGATCCTTTTGTTTTGCTCTCTTTTTTGGACTCTTTTCTGTTACCCTGACTTTCCTTCTCTTTTTCACCCATTTCCTGGTATTTCCCCTCTTTTTCCTCATTGTCTACCTCTTCTTCCTCCTCCCCTTCCCTCTCCTTCCTTTCCCTCTTCTCCCCTTCCTCTTCTCCCTCTCCTTCCCTTTCTTCTTCCCCCTTTCCTTCATTTTCCTCTTCTCCTTCCTCTTCTTCCTCCTCTCCTTCATTTTCCCCTTCTCCTCCTTCCTCTTCCCCATCTCCTTCCTCGCTTTCCCCCTCTCCTTCATTTTCTTCCTCTCCTTCCTCTTCTTCCCTCTCTCCTTCATCTTCTTCCTCTTCCCCCTCTCCTTCCTCTTCCTCCTCCTCTTCCCCCTCTCCTTCCTCTTCCTCCTCTCCTTCCTCTTCCTCCTCTTCCCCCTCTCCTTCCTCTTCCTCCTCTTCCCCCTCTCCTTCCTCGTCTTCCTCCTCTCCTTCCTCTTCCTCCTCTCCCCCATCTCCTTCCTCTTCCTCCTCCTCTTCCCCCTCTCCTTCCTCTTCTTCCCTCTCTCCTTCTTCACTTTCCTCTTCTCCCTCTCCTTCCTCATCTTCCCCTTCTCTTTCCTCTTTACCTTGCTCCCCTTCTTCCCCAGTTTCCTCTTCTTCCCCATTTTCCTCTTCTCCTTCCTCTTCCCCCTCTCCTTCTTCCTCTTCCCTATTTCCCTCACTTTCCCCTTCTCCTTCCTCTTCACCTTGTTCCTCTTCTCCCTCTCCTTCATTTTCCCCTTCCTCTTCTCCTTCTTTGCCCTCTCCTTCCTCTTCATCTTCTTCCTCTTTTCCCTTTCTTTCTTTCTCTACCCTCTCTCCTTCCTCTGTTTCCCCATCTCCTTCCTCTTCCTTCCCCTCCTCTTTCTCTTTTTCTCTATCTCTTTCCTCCCCTCCATTCTTTTCTCCATCTTCTTTCTCCTTTCCCCCTTCTCCTTCCTCTTCACTTTCTCCTTCCTCTTCTGCTCTTTCTTTTCCCTCTCCCTTTTTCTTCTTCCCATCCTCCTCTTCTTCCTCTCCTTGCCCCTCCTCCTGCTCTCCTTGCTTCTCCTCCCTTTCCTCCTGCTCTCCTTGCTCCTCCTCCCTTTCCTCCTGTTCTCCTTGCTCCTCCTCTCTTTCCTCCTCTTCTTCTTGCTCCTCCCATTCTCCTTCCTCCATCTCTTGGTTTCTTTCTTCCTGGTGGCCTTTGTCCCCCTCCTTTTTCTTCTGTTTTACCTCATCTCTTTTCTCCCACTCCTCCTCCTCTTTTAGGTACTTGCCTTCCTTATCCAGACTCTCCATTTTTCCTCTTCCTCCATCTTTCTCCCCTTCCTCCTTCCCATGCCATTGTTCCACTTCTGAACTACCCTCCTCATAGATTTGGTTCCTTTCACCTTCAGTCCCATCCTCTGCCTCTCCCTTGCCTTCACTCACCTCTGCTCTGTTTGAAAGGTCATCTGACAGGGTTCCTGCTTCCTCCTCCTTTGTTTCTCCTTCCACCTCCACATTTTCCTTATGTGCCTCTACCACTTGCTCCTCTATTCCACTTCCTTCTGAATCCTCTGTTCCTTCCTGCTCCTCTGGTATCTCTGACAAGTGGTCACATTTATAATCATATTTTGTCATGAATCTGGATACTCTGGGTTCAGTCTCGAGTCCTTGTTCGACATATTTTCTGCTGAACCACATGTGATGATCAGTTTCCAGTTCATCCTCTTTCTCTTCACTATCAAATTCTATTGACTCGGGCTGATCCAATATGTCGGCTGTACCCATCTGTCTCTGGCTTTCACATTCCATGTAACTGTCTGGCTCTTCTATCAATTCTCTTTCAGGGTCAAAGATCATATCTTGCTGCCTACTTTTCCTTTCCTGAGTAAAGCCTTTGTCGTCTTCATCCTCAAAATTCACATCTTTTTCTGGTAACTCATCAAAGAACATATCATATGGTAAACATTCTATATTCTCTTTTCTTTCTTGTATATCTTTCAGACCTGCCATTTCCATCAGCTCAGTTTTCTTCTCAGACACTATTTCTTCTCCATCACTTTCCTTTTCTGTGTCCTTAGTATCAAGTTCATCAACCTCACTTTTACTCTCATGTCTAAATATCTCTTTTTGCAAGCCCTCTTCATTGATGTTGGCCTCAGGGTCCTCCTGGTCTGAGTCATTATCTACTTCCTCATCTGTAAACGTTTCCATAGTCTTAGCTGCTTGCATCATGAAGATCCCTTCATCTACCTGTTCCTTATATGCTTTCCCTTCTTTCATTTTTGATACCTCTTCATATTCATATTCATTACTATCATCATCATTTTCAGTACAAGCTGCATGCTGAATCAATTGGTCAACTGCTTCTTGTTTCTGTAAATTTTTTGAAGTAATCATCATACTACTATTAGTTGACAATGGCAACTTTTCTTCTATAAATTACTGCTACAATTTTACATTTTTAAAAGTAGAATAAAAATGTCCAGATAGAATAAAAATATCAGATATTTTTCTGAGGTTTTATTTTCTTTAGGAATAACTTATACCACTTTCTAGGTCTCCAGTATATCTAATTTTGACTTAGTAACATGTATCTGTGTTTGTTTAGCTTTCAGTTTTAATCATGTGCCTTAATTCTGCCAATCACAATTCCAATATTTATTATCTACCCTTTTTCTCAATTGGAGTAAATACTTACATTATGACATTTCTAGATTGATTTTGCAAGATGCTATTTCAAAATTTACACCGCACTTGCATGAATCATTTCAGTATAATTTTTCCACCTTCTCTATCATTTTTAATTTCCAAATTTTGATTAGTCTTTGAGTTCATGAAACCCACAAAATTAATCAATATATGAAAATTTTTAAAACTGAAAAAAATGAGTAGCTTATTTTTAGAAGAAAAAAGGAAAACTGCACATGAAATTTTTTTAAATCTATAAGCTAATAACAATATTTTTCTTTCCTAAACAAAATATTTGTATGAATTTTCAAAAGTTTTACCCTATTATATTCTTTAAAATAATTTGTAAACATGAAAAATCACTAAAAAGAAAAAATACTTAGGGCAAAATGTAAGATTTAGGTAAAAACTATGAAATCACACATTGAGATTTGAATGATATATCAACAATATAAAAATAATTTCCTGCTGAACAAAATAAGGCAAAACCAAATTGTTGACCTAAATTCTACAAGTTAATTAATTCAAATATTTGATGAATTTGGATCTCTGGATGGTAAAAGCTCACAAAATCAAATTTTATAAATTGTGATGAGTGTTAAGGCATAGGAAGAGGTTCAACTTTTACCAAAGAAATAATTAAAACAGGACAAGTTATGAATTAACAAACTGATATAGAGAAATGGTATAACAAATATGTTTTACTCACTAAAGTAGGCCTGATAGAGCCTAAACTTAAAAGGACTATCTAAAGTATGAAATACATATCAGCTTAAAAGGAAGTACTTTTCTATTATGTTCTAGGTCTGTCATTTCAAAAGTGCTAAAACTTGAAAGTTCTTTCCAGAGCCCTAAGAGAAACAGGCCCAACAGTCAGAACTGATTTCTAAATGTATATGCCTTTCTTTTCCCAGAACAGTAAGGCAGCCCAGAAGAGGCAGAGCCCAGAGTCTAAGAGCAGAGAAAGGAAAGAGGAAAGATGGAAGTATAGTCAGTAACTAAAGCAGTTAACATTCATTGAGCTTCCACAACTGCGGTGGAAGCCATATTCAAAGGCATGCTGTTATTCACCATGACTCTCACTGATATACACAGGACTAATGAAGACTGGCTCTAAATTTTTATGATTTATCAAGATGCTCTTTCATTTCAGTGGCTTTGGTTTGAAGAATTTTTATCTTAATATGGCAAAGACACTAGAAATAGAAAATGTTTTTTACAGCCTCCTTCCTTTAATTTACATTTCTCTGCTTTATTTTCCTAATCTCCAAACTCCTCATCCTTTTATCCCACTAGTTCTTAAAGCCAGGGAAAGCAAAAAATCTAACGGAAGGCCTTTATTTCTCCAGGGTTGTGGAAGACATAGACTACTCCTTCCTCTTGCTATTTGTTATTCAGTAAAGGTCTCCTTTTCACCCATAAACAGTCTCGAGTTTCCAAATATTTATTTTAATCATGTTTTATGCTATCCATTCCTTGATAAATTAAAAAGACAAATCTAAAAATTAGAAGTGATTATCAAATATTTTTTACTGAAATCACAAAATAGCAGACCTAGAAAAAAATGTTAATATCACCCAGTAAAGTCAGCATAGTAATTCACCCAAAGTCATATTCAACCAGTCAGACTCTGATAAACAGTGGCCTCTTTCTATAAGTAAGAAATACAATTATGAACTATTGCTAGACAGAAGAAAATATAATTATCACAACTTAAGTTAGTAACTCCAAAGAACAAATTTCAGTAATGAAATTCTAGCATTCTTGCTGCATCACAGAAAATACATACCAACAGAACAAGCCAAATGGAGGTCATCTACATTGTGCTCCTCTGTCCTTTAAATTCTTAAATAAATGAATACTTACCTTTCTTGTGGTCTTCCCAGAAACTTTTCAAAGCAAAATAATTTAAACTGTTCTTACCTACCATAATAAAAATAACTCTCTATATTATACCTTTTGTTTTTGAATTGGCGAAAATGTTAATGACTTGTCATCAGAATTCAGGTTCATCATATGTGTCTGAAATAAAAAAGAAGTATATGTTCTCAAAAATATAGACTATATATAGGCTAATGCAGGCTATATATATGATCGTGCATTCTAAATACACACACACACACACACACAGTAAAATGAATGCCAAACAGTTCAGACAGTAATATAATCTACTCTCAATTGCCATGCTAATGGTGTTAAGATAGAAATAAATTTTATCATACATTAATTAAACTTTGTTTGCTAATTTTTAACCAATAAAGTTGGTTAAAATTAGCAAAACCAAAGAAATAGTTTTTTTGTGCACGAGAATATAGAAGACATATACATACATGTTCACACAACACATGAACCAAAATTTATACCAAACTCATCTACATAGATACAGAATCATTACCATATTTAAGATATCATTAGTTTCTTCAAGGCTTTCTGAATCTGCTGCTGAAGAATTTTCTGTCTCTTTCTCTTTGGTCATGTTATCTTGAAAAAAGTCTGAATGATGAGAAGGAAAAAGGAAATCCAGATTTCAATAGAAATATAAAAAGCAACTAGACAGAAATTCTATAATACAAAGTGTGAGTACAATTTTACCAAAGGTCCTTTGATTTAATGTCAGGGGAGCTGAATAGAAGTCAACCACAGTGATAATGTGTTTTAAAATCTCTTTTTCAAGGTTTAAGAACTTTGACACCAATTAGATAATAACTGTATCATTCATATGGACAGGTTAATACTGTTCCTTTGGGATACCTACAACCCACATATTGAGCACTGGATGCTAGCCCCAAGAAAGGTCCCAATCACCCACATATTCCTGGCTTTTTACCCCAGTGTAGCTCCCCTATACATCATATCAGGCTGTATGGCCAATTAAATAAAGCAGACATAACTATGATGTCATTCTAGCTCTGCTTTGCTACATGCATGCATGTTCTCTCTTTTGGATCACTTGCTCTGGAGGAAGCCACTTTGTGAGCATCTTTACATAGAAGCCTATGTGAAGAGTACAGGAAGCCCTCTGCCAATGGCAACATGAATGAGCTGGAAATTCAACTAGAGCCCTGTATGACAGTGTGACTTTAACTCGATGAGTGAGCCTGAGCCAGAATTACCCAGTTAATGTGATCCTGGATTCTTGACTCTCAGAAACTATGTGAAATAGTGTCTGTCATTTTAACTTGCTAAGTTTTATGGTCATTTTTAAATGTAGCAACAAATAACTATCTCAAGTACCTTTCACAGAAAATGGCAAGTTATTATATCATAAAGCAGAAAATTAAAAGTCATAAGCTCTATTTGACCTTACATTTTTCTAAAGTTTCTCACTATATCCTCTTTGATCACCTGTCCATTTATTTGAGGGGAGTTTCTTAAATGAAGTCTTAACTACAAATGCCAGTCCACACTGATCTCTCCATTTTAAATCTATTCAACTCCATGAGCAAGTACTCATTTTGTATCTATTCCATGTGTTGTAATATGCAGAGACAGTAACTTAAATTTTAACTGCTAATTCTTTTGTTGTTCATTATCTATATTTAAGTTTTACAATAGATGTTGATATACATAGACTATAAGTTCATTAAGAAGTAGTAATTATCAAGGGAATATAAAAACATAGAGGAAAGAGAAATCACACATGAATGTTGGGAATCAGGAATGGTTTCACTAAAGAGGTGCATGGAAGGATGAGTAGTGTTCTGAGAGGCAGGCAGAGATAGAGCTGGAAAGGGAATAAATGAATTCCCATTCCTAATAAAGCCAAGGAGTAGGAAGAGAAGCACATGGAAGGAAGCAACTTGTGTTGAAGGCTGCCAATGTCCTAAGAACATATACTCTTTTGTGTGTTGGATTAATCCTATGATAACAAGAAAGGTTAAACATTATATTCTCATTTTACGAATGAGAAAAGTATACTTAATTTACCATTATGGTACCTAATGTCAGTCTCAGGTCTATGTAACTCCATAGCCCATGTTCTTTCCAGTAAGTCAGACTCTGAATTGCTCAGTTTGATCAAAATCAGGGGTTACATTTTTTTTTTCTCTAAAAGACCACACAGTAAATATCTTATGATTTGTGAGCCATACAGTCTCTGTCCTAACTTAACCTCTGACATTGTAGAATGAAACAGCCATAGACAACACATGAAGGAATGGGTATGAATGGGTTCAAATAAAAGTTTATTTACAAAAACAGGTGGCTGGCTAGATTTGGTCCATGGGTCATAGTTTCCAGACTCCTGATTTAAATAGAGGTTATAAGAAAAAAAGGTTACTGAGGGAGAGAGAGAGAGCCAGAAAAGCAGTTGGGAGTTATAAGGAAACATTTATTTTCATAAATATCAGGGATCCTCTGAAGACAGTGGAGCAGATAGGATCTGAACTGGACTTAAGGGAGATTAATGTGAAAAGTGTTACACTGGATATACTGGAGGTAAGAAAATGTAGGTTTAGAAAATAGAGTAGCTTTTTTTAAGCTGATGGCTTTGTCTCAGATGAGAAAACAGAAATAACTAAATATGATGTGCTTGATCTTCTCACCAACATATACTATTACCTAAATTTGTGCCCAAGTTCTCATTTTCCTGTTAATGTAAAATGTCTTTCCTATTACCAAAGACTGCTCTGTATGCCAGCCTCTTCTGTCTTCCAAGAGCTTTTGTCTCCTAGGACTACCAAGATCTCCTGATTATAGGTATACACATGTGTTCCAGTTTTTCCCATGGATCCCACAGTTCCCTCTAGCTGCCTGCCAAGTGTTCTGGACTATCTCATGACCAAATAAGCAAAATAATGATCTACACAGCCTATCTCCTCTTCACTTCCTCATTCCCTATTCATGCTTTAATACTTATCATTCTGGCTTCTGTGATCTTTCCCTGGAACTGCTCTTTGTTGAGGTCACCAGTAATCTCCAGGATACCAAATGCACTGGATGTTTCTTTGAGTTCTTTTCCCTTAATCTTTGAGCAGAGATTTGCATTCATGCCTCTACTTTTTCCTAATTTTCCTCCTCCTCCTCTCTTACTGACTGATGAGATCAAGAAAGATAAATATTCTTATGTCTATATCCTGGTCCCTCTTCTCTTCTGACTCTACTCTCTGTTGATTTCACCAACTTTGTACATTTTAAATACCATTTCTCTACTGATGGTTTCCAAATTTTATCACTAGTTCAGAGCTCTTTTCTGAACTTTAGGCTATTTTTCAACCGCCTGCTTAATATTTCCATTTGCGTGTCTCATAGACACCCCAGGCTCAATTCTTAAATTTCTTCCTCAAACTTGTCCATCATCCTATTGCTTAGGAACTACCCTTGATTCTTCCCTTTATGTCATCCCTATGTGTAATCTATTAATATGATAAGCAAGTCTAGTTGGTTATATGTCTGAAACATATCATCTCAACTGCAAAGACCTTGGTCCACACATTGCTATCTCTTGAAAAAAAAAAAAATCTGACAAGTATTTTTCTTCTTCTTCTAATATGGCTTCCCTAGAATCCACATGGAGGTAGAAATGATCATTTTAAAATATCAATTGGATTGGAACATATCAGTCCACTCTTTAAAACCCACTAATTGCTTTTTATTGTATTTAAAACCATTCAAGCTTGACACAGTAGTGCACACCAGTAATTCCTGCTACTAAGTAGGTTCAGGCAGTAGGATCAAAGTTTGAGGACAGCCTCTGCAACTGAGAGACGCTGTCTCAAAATAAAAAAGACTGGGGATGTAACTGAGCAGTAAAGTATCCCTGGGTTCCATCCCTAGTGACATACACACACACACACACACACACACACACACACACACACAGAGAGAGAGAGAGAGAGAGAGAGAGAGAGAGAGAGAGAGAGAGAACCATTCAAATTGAATAGGCTCTTTCTGGCCTATAAACTGAGGAATAATTTTTCACTGTCTTTTCTCCAACATCATCCTGTTCTGTCTTTTCCCTCACTTTAGAGCCCTACTGGTCTTTCCTTTTCTTTGCCTCTTATTTTCTCTGCCAGGAATGCAACTACTGTCAATTTATGTGGCTATTTCTTATCCTTTATGTTTTAGCATGAATGGCATCTTCTCAGCAAGACCTACCCTGATCCATTTTCTTCCCTTATAAAGACAAAAGTCTGCAAATAATTTAGAACAAATCATATTATATACTGAGTATAACTTATAAGCTACTTATTATAAAGAAAGTTTTATTAGTCACAAAAAGATAGGGGAAATTTTTCCTTTTGATCTAGGTACAAAATTATGTACATATTTACATTTAAATCTCTTGAAGTGGGAAATGACTTTCTTTCCCCAAACCACATACTTTTCTTCCCTGTATACAATGCTTGTCAGAATCTACTACTATACTTTCCATGTCTAGGACTGAAAAGCATCATTTGACATTGATTTTTTTTGGGGGTGGAGGGTCCTGGGGTTGAACCCAGGGGCATTTAACCACTGAGCCACATCCTCACCCCTTTTTTTTGCATTTTATTTAGAGATAGGGTCTCACTGAGTTTCTTAGTGCCTTGCAAAGTTTCTGAAGCTGGTTTTGAACTTGTGATCCTCCTGCCTCAGCCTCCCAAGCTGCTGGGATTACAGGTGTGTGCCACCGCACTCAGCCTTGACACTGATTCTTATTTCAAAAAGACCATACAGGAGAATTAGGGTTGTAGCTCAGTGGCAGGGCACTTGCCTAGCACATATGAGGTACTGGGTTCAATCCTCAGCACCACATAAAAATAAATAAATAAAATGAAGGTATCGTGTCCATCTACGACTTAAAAAAACAACATACAAAAGTTGTGGTGAAGAAACTCAGCTCATTATCAAGGTCCTGTCTAGATGATAGATCGCAAACAATAAAAAGTATGTGCCATGGTTCTTAATTCCCAATGTACAGGTTTATCTTTCTCTTTTCTTTTTTGGTACTGAGGAGTGAACCCAGGGGGCACTTTATCACAGAGCTACATACCCCATCCCTTTTTAGTTTTTGAGATAGGGTCTCTCTAAGTTGCTTAGGGCCTTGCTAAGATGCTGAGTCTGGCTTCAAATTTGTGATCCTTCAGCTTCCCAAGTCACAGAATATGGGCCTGTGCCACCAAGCCTAGCCAGGTTTATCTACTTAAATTTCAAATCTACTTCTTCTGATCTCCTGGTCCTGCGCCCATCATCCAAGCATACACCCTCTAATACCATACAGACACTCCTTCAAGATATAAAGTCTATGAACACAATCATGTGGAAGAGGTGTATAGTAGTAAAAGAGTTGGGATTACAATTTAAAGCATGAATATCTAATAGGGACTGAGATAGAGGTGTTACTGATAATCATAAGTATATTTATTTAGGGGTTTCTAGAGGTGATGAGCTCAATGCTAAATATTTTACATGCCTGATATCACTTAATCATTGAAATCATTCTCTGAAGTAGGCATCATTAAATGATAAGGAAACTGAGGCTTAGATTTAGTCACATAGTTGATAAATGTCAGAGCTGGCATGCAACCCTAGATCAATTTTAATTCCATATCCCATGCTTTAACCACTATGAATCACTGCTTAAATACAGAACTTGACATAGATCCAGAAGACCTGCATTCAAATCCTGTCCACTTCAGATATAAACTGACTGACCTTGGGTAAGTCACTTGATTTCTTCAGGTCTAGCTTTTCTCATTTGTAAAATAAAGAATATAATTCCCACTTATTTCATGAAGTTGCTTCAGGTTTTATAGAAAGTAATATAATAATGGCATGCATATTATCCATTACTCTATAAAGACATGCTGCTATGGTTACAAGATTCATTGATGGTGCTTTGTATTTGTAAGGGTATTTCTGGGTTTGAGTTCAAGTGGGTGATATCAGGCTCCAATTGGGGATGAAACAATTTAATGAACTGGAGAAAACATCTTAAGATAAAACATGAAAGCAATAGGAATAAAAGGCACATTTCTCCTAAGAGCAGGCAGGGTGACAAGTATTACCTGGATCCAGTGGCTCCGTGAAGTCAGAGGTGCATTTCTCTGAGAGGTAATTAATAGGCACAGGGAAAGAGATTGAAGAAGGGGAAAAATAAGGTACTGAGGCAGTCTCCTCTAATGGAGGTAGTGTTCGAACCATGTGAATAGATTCTGGGGATTTCTCCTTTAAAATAAAATAATAAATATCTGTCAAATGATGTTATATATAACATTGGCATAAATTTCCTTGCAGTTGCTAAAAATATTTAAGAGAAAGAGTCCAAAGTCTACCAACATTCCATAACATTCACTTCTTAATAATCCCCAGGGGATCAAAAACGTTTTGTTCTGTTGTTTCTGTATCTTAGTTGCTCTAAATTGTCAATCGGAAAGCCTGTTTTTCACATTTTGGGGAAAAAAAATGTGTGTGTGTGTGTGTGTGTTTTCTCTGCTTTCTCTTATAGAAACAAAAATTTGCTCATGAGATATAAAAAATTACAAAACATGGGTGGAATATTTCTCAACCTTTCCATATATACTTTTTGTAAATAAAAAGTCACACTTAACTTTTACTCCAAAAGGAAAGAATTTAAGAACTTAAAGTAATTTTCAAAGAGGAATTTCTCCTTTAAATATTTGGCATTTTCATTTTTTAAAAAAGTATAAGTGTCACTGAAACAGTAATTTTAAAGCACATGAGAATCTCTAAATTTAATTGAAAGAAAATATTCCTTTTCTCCAACTAAATTCCTTCTTGGTTTTTCATGTTTCATAGTTTATAGTATATAACCTTCCACCACATGAGGTCTAACTAAAAGATAAAAGAATATAGCATTAGGCAAGATGGTGAAGTCCTAGAGATGTGCTGTACAACATAGCGCTGTGCCTATGTTAATAATACTGTATTATATGCTTAAAAATCTGTTACATGGGTAGATCTCATGTTCTTACTACAATAATAGAAAAAAGGGTGTGACAAGTTAAAGTAGAAGATGAATCACATGAAGTTAAAAAAACAATGTAGCATCTACTCTGAGGTGTAAGAAAGGTCTGTAAAAGGATGCTTTGTATACTATCACTGTCTACAAGCAGAGGTTATCCATGATAATTTGAATTGTCTAATTTGTGTCTTTAATGGCTTAATTCTGCACTCACTCTAAAAGTCCAAAATCTTCAGCTCTAATCACTTTATTAGCAATTTTATCTGAGAAAAGCCTTTGATTTTATAAAGAAAATAGATTTTTTTCTTCATGTTTTCTTAGCAGTGCTATACAATACTATTATATAGAATAGGCCACAACTGTACCCGCTCTCTTCGCCGCAGACGTGCTGATAAAGTTCTATGCAGTAAATTTCCTGAGGTCAGATCAGTGGTGGACAGAGAATTAGCTGCAGGTGAGGAAGAATCACTTATTTCATCAAATTCAACTTCTCCTGATATATTGAGCCGTGGAGTGGCAAAAACTAGCATGTGACATCCACCACAGGCAACCTGCAAGCATAAAGCCACAGAAAAATTAATCAACATTGGATTCAAACACAAATGGATTTTTTAACAATTATCAGGTCAGCTACAAGAAATTTACTTAGTGTTACACAGCAGACTTCCTAAACTGACCGACTCACTGATTCTCTTTTAATCTCTCTTCTCCCTCTTTTCATTTAGATATACATGTGTGAGTGTGCATGTATACATCACATGTCTGAATTATATCTATGTGAATTAATGTATATATTCTTTAAACACTACAATTGAAAATTAGAACAAGTTTAATTCACCATTTGCTTTCATTTAACATAACATAGAGGGAAAAAGTACTTGTCACTACATGTTTCATTACAAGTTAGAAGGTGTTGTATTTTCAACTGGGAGCAATATTAAAAACTTTTAAAAACTATTCAGAGAAGATCTACTGGGAAATAAAATGAGCCAAGAATAAAACAGTCTCCTGAGATAATTATATATCCAAAGCTTTTTCTTTACATGAATATTTTCTACATTTAAAGCTTAAAAGACCTTAGAGAAAAACAAGAATTCACAATGATGGAACAATGAAAAAGAATTTTGAGATATCAATGGCTTCTAAGAAAATGCCAAAAAAAGATCCCATAGTGTATTTTGGGGGAGGTACTGAGGATTGAACCCAGAGGCACTTTACTACTGAGTTATACCCTCATCCCTTTTGATTTTTTATTTTGTGATAGGGTCTCACTAAATTGCTCAGGCTGACCTCGAACTTGTGATCCTCCCACCTCAACCTCCAGAGTCACTGGGACTACAGAGGTGCATTACTATACCTGGCCCCAGTATTTTTAATACATAGATTCTAGCCATTTTATAGTGTTTTGACTATACCTTTCTTTTATAATATTTTCAAATTTAAAATTCATGAACAATTTTATTTATCACCTTTTGAAGTGATAATCCCTGTAAGATTATAAACCCAACGAATGAGGATTAGTTTCTTCATCACTGAATACTCTGTATTCCTAATAATTAATCCAGTATCTTGCACATAGTCAAATCAACAAATGGTGCTCCATAGTATGAGACAATGCATCTTTGGAGAAGTAAAATTATTGTCAAATAAACAGAATTTTCACTAGTCTATATAGCTCTTAACTAGCAAAAGTATTAGAAACAATAGACATACAATGTGTGATGGTAATGTTAAACTAAAGCCACACATTCTTATCTAAATAATATTTAGTCAATAAAACATTTTCACACCTCTTCATTTGTTATCAGATTCCTCTGGTACAGGATTTGAGAGTCTCAGTAACATTTAATTGCACAAATATTTACTGAATACTACTGTGTTTCAAGAGACAAATGAAAATACAGCAGAAGAGTTAAGATTGCAACAAAAAGGAAAATGTTAAAGGAGGAAAATTAGGAAAGGGGCAGATTTTCAGAGTGGCATAATGTATGAAATTTGACTTTTAGAAACTAGTTGTATTGAGTAGATAAATATATGACAGTCTCTAATATAAACACAAAGGTAAGTATTATCTATGAAATACTGAAAGACTCAATTATAGAAATATAAAAAAACATAAGGAGGGGAATGTGATAACCTTACCAAATGAACTGTAAATTTCAAAAAATTAGAGCACAAAGTTGGAAAGAATTGATTGGTAAAATTCTCCAGTCCAAGTCCTAATTTTCCATGTCGGCCATCTCCAAAAGTATACATAAGGCCTACATCTAAAATGCAAAAATAAATAATTAAATAAGGAGAATTATACAAGTGTTACTTGCATTCATCTGTTTATAATCAGATGAATATATTAATTCACACTGCAGTTATAATTTTCCCATCAAATTCTACATTGAATACTCTGGTCCATTGATCTTTCCACTTACACTGATTTCTATGGTCCTATGCATAACAATATGCAGTAGATATTCTGAGAACAAATCACTAAACCCTGGTGGTTGGTGAAGTTGATGCCTTGTGGTGCAAGAAATTATATGGAACACCAACAATACAGCATGAGATCTTGTGATGTACATCATATTCTCAAGGAGAAAGAGATGCTTGTATTCTGATCTCTTATGTTGTGATATAACCTATTTTATTTTTTCCTCAGATCACTGATTGATCAGTTTCTCAACCTCAGCACTACCGACAGTTGGGCTGAATTATTTTTAGTTGTGAGAGTCGGTCCTGTTCATTGTAGGATGTTTAGCAGCATTTTTGGCCTCTGCCCCACTACATGCCAGTAAAACTCTCCTCTGCAGCTGTGACAGTCAAAAATTTCTCCAGACATCACATCTGTCTCCTGGGGGGAACAAAATTGTCAGTGGTAGAGAACTACTGACTTAGATCAATCCAACTCCTCTCTTTTCTTAATTAGGTTCCTGGACTGAATAATGCTGCCTAAAGAACTGCCTACCATAAGCCAATCAATAATGCTGACCAGTCCCTATACCAATAACTGGGTCTCATCTATAGCTGAGCTGCTGATAAGTGATCTGGTTACTTCTCTCCAGTTATCTTTTTTTGCCTGCTACCATAGCAGATATTCTGAACCTCAGCTCCTCTTCTCAGGCCTCTCCTCCATATACTGCATCTCAAGTGAGGTAAGTGCCATGGAAGCAGAATTAATGAGTGACAATGTGTGTGCAGAGAGGGATTTCCCTATAGTTTGAGGATTAGGGAAGGCATTCAAACTGAAACCTAAAGGATGACTAGGGTTTAGCTGGAAGAAGAAAGGAATGAAGAATTCTCCAGGCAGAGTCAGCAGTAAGTAGGAAACACCTGAATCAAGAGAAATCAGAGCTAAGACAAGAAGGTGAAGGCAACCAACAAGCCCAAAGCACAAAGGGGAAAGTGTATGAGATGAGTCTGAGGAGGAAGATGGAACCATACCTCAGAGGATTCCATTAGTTCAGATTATAAATTTTTGAATTCTAAAGGCAAGAAGAAGCCAAATGAATGGTTTTAGGCTGGGAAATGATTAGATGATATTTAGAGACTTCTGGTTTAAGAAGGCAAAGTAACTGCCTACCAAGAAAATATATAAAAATTGACTGAAAAAATGACTGTAAATAACATAATTCAATAAAGTGATAAGTTCAAAAATTAACTTATAGAAATAGATTTGTATAAATAAGCAATAACCAGTGTTTAGATGTGTTAGCTCTTATAACTCTATTTCCTTTCTTTATATACTCTATTACTGTTATCCCTTCCTCTCCCTTCTTTTGATCCCAATTTCTTTGTTCAAAAGTGATTTTTAAGGCTTGCCTTTCTAATTTGATTATCTTATGCCTCAAAAACTAAACTCTGATCCAAGCTGCCTGAGTACACTTCAAACCTCAGAGTGATTTAAAAAATATGAGCCACTGGCTATAATGAGGAACTGATAAGAACTTATAGATAACTCAGTATACACATCTCATCAGTCTAGAGGGGAAAAAAACTACACTTGTCCTCTGGGGAGGACAGAAGAGCAAAAAGGCAAGTGAAGTTTATGTTCAATTATTTGTGATATAACTCTTTTCATTAAGAAGAAAGATACTATGAAATTTTAACTAAATAACCTAATTGTATATTAGATGATACATGAAAGTTTGTTTACCCATCAATTGCAATTTGGAGTTGATGAAAAATGGCAGTAAGGACAGAGAAACTGAGATTAGGACCCCACAGTAAGGGACACATATCAATTCTAATGAGACAACAAATGAATAACATTTCTTTACATTCTATACAGTACTATTTCATGCCATGTTAACAAGAACATAAATAATTGATGATAGGCAGGTTATCCTCTCTGAAGAGTTCTGTGGGGAAAAAAGAACTGTTTACCTTGTGTGTGCTGATTCCTACACTTCCCCTAACCTGTTATCATTAGATGAGCTCCACTGTAGCAGTAGCATTTTTAGAAAGAGGGAAAAAAGTAGAAATACAAGTATCTGGATTATTTCAATATACTAGATGATTTCTGAATATTTGGTGCTTTATTTCATCTTCAGATAGAAATAGTGAAATTACAGATGGTTTTCTTATAAAGCACTTAAGTTTGTGGAGTCTATCAATTACCTATAAGTAAGTGACTGAATTATTTCGGGGAAGCATTTTCTTGAGTTCTACACTATTAGCAGAACCTAATTTCTGAAGTTAAGAAGCAGGCCCAAAGGAACATCTCCCTGGATAAAGAGAAGCCACAAAATTGAGAGATGTATTCACTTGGGGGTTTTTGAAGTACCTTTCTCTCTACCACTGTGGAAAGAGGAGTTATTCCTGAAAACGCCTCCTGGTGGCAAAAGCAGCATAAAGAATTTACTCAGCCTGAATATAGCTCTGTCACAATGAACATGAGAATGTTCTTCTGAAAAACTTCTTTCTTTCTTCCCTGTGGCTTGCACAGCGTTAAAAGCCTTCAATTTCAGTAGGATTCTAACTTTCCGCCAAAGTACAGTATATTATGGTCTTCTGACATCAGCTGGTCTATTTTGAGGTTCTAAATCTTCAGATCTTTTACTTTTTTTTCATGTTGGGGATTGAGTCCAGAGTCGCATACATGCTAAGCATGCATTCTATCACCTAACTAAAACCCCAGACCCTACATTTATTATAAAATGAATTAAAATAATCAAAAGGACTTTACAACTTTATACTTTGGGATATTAATAAAAGAATTCCAATTTTCTCAATTATTAATTCTTTTACTTAAGTTAGATACATTCATTCCCTATATTATTTAGTTTATAATAAAACACACCCAGTTCTAGAAATATAAAACATAAAAATCTAATCCATACCTGTTATCAAAGCTGTGTGATTTTCTCCACAGGCAATATAACTTACTCTCTGGTCCTTCATATTTGCAATGACTTTGGGTTCTGAAGTTTCAAAAAGAAATGTGCCAAGGCCCAGCTGACCAAACTGCCCTAGCCCAAAGGTATACACAGTTTTCTCTGAAAGGAAAGGCACAATACAAGAAAAGGATTACATGGAAGCAGACACTGTCACCATCATATCTAAAAAGATTGTGACATTCTTCCTTTTATATAACAAAGGTAACTTTTCTCTGAAAGAAATACTAATTTAAGAATACTAATACTTTAGTATCATTTTTTCAGTGATAAAGACAAAAATCAAAGGCACACAATTAGTTGCGTGCGGCAGTGCATACCTGCAATCCTGCCTACTTGGGAGGCTGAGGTAAGAGAATCACAAGTTGGAGGCCAGCCTTGGCAATTTAGCAAGACCGTGTCTCAAAATAAAAAGGGCTGGGGATGTAGCTCAGTGGTAGAGCATTCCTGGATCCAAACAAAAACCAAAAACGAAGAAATAATAAAGAAAAGGTACACACTGTAAAAAAATTATGGCAGGTGTTCAGTTTTATCTTTCATATCCATAACCACAAAAGGAACTTCTATAAGTAAGAAACTGATACAATAGAAGATACATAACTCAAGGAACTAACCAACATGTCCCTATAATTACCATGTCAATTCAAAAATCATAAATTTTCATAAAGGCAATTTCTTTCACTGCCACAAATAAAAATGTGAATAGTGTCTCCTACAAAAATAAGCTTCTAACTTTTAAAAGAAGTTTAATAAATCTATTTTATAAAACATAATTTCTGAAAATAATTTGCAGAGAAATTAAGATTTATGATGGATATGCTATATTCAGTCACAAGTAAAGCTCCTTTATTAGGAAATGCAATGCTGAAGAAAGGACAGGAGAAGCTTTCCTCTATACTGATACTTTTGGGGTGAATACAAAGGACCTCCAATAACTCCATTAGCTCATATATTTTCTAGAAATGCACAAGTACAAAAGCAGGATACATGCATGGTGACAAATGGGTTCTTTTAGACACAATTTCCCTGGTCAATGTGTTAGGAAGTACAGTGTCCTTGGTTCAATCATGTGTAGAAAGAACAAGAAATCTGCATTAGGGCCCAAACTCAAATCGTGGTTATTACCAGCTGTGGCAAGTAGATAAGTTTCTTAGATTCTCTGATGTTATAATCTTTATTTATTTCAGGTAGATTTGAAGACATTTAGTTTTAAAGAACAATTTATCTTTGAAAAAGTCATCATTTAATCAACCCATCTAATTCTGGCAATTGCAGGGGTTACTGATGAATTCAAAACTGTCTAATACCACATCATTTTACATCATTTTCTGCCTAATAAGAATGTTTGCTTTATCAGTAAAACATAGATATTACTCCTTATAGAAAATATGCTGTGTCAAGGATATGAAGCCATACTGAGGCAATGGCAAAACACATTCTTGTTTTAATATAAAAAATCTTTTAGTTAATTAATAACCATGTGGTATATTTCCAGTTCTAAATGTTCAGCTTAATAGTAGAATGTTGGGTAAATTAAAACAATTATTTACTGTTACTTTATCAACAATTACTCAACTTTCCTTGGGCTGTCTGATATTAGCCTGTGAAATGAGGCCATTTAGGTAGGCAGCTTAATCATATTTTAAAAGTTTCATTTTATCCTGTTAGGTTCACTTTCAGGTGCTTGGATGATTAGTGATGACAGCAGTTTCTGGTTTTTAAATATCTAAAACTCTTTCAACTAAAAATAGTACATATAAAAAACTAATATAATTTTTGGCCATATCACCTTTGTGATATTTAACAGTGCAATTTATTACCCTGTAGAGAACTCAGGTTTGTCCAAACATAATCTAGAGAAGCTAAATTATCATTTGCCTCAGGACCCACAGACTTCATTGTGGACCCCTCTTATAATTGGCCTTTCTCATCTTTTGGTAACTGCTATGGGTAATGTAAAAGATTACATGTATCACTCTGTCTCAGTGTGTCCCAAGTTCCAGTCTGGCCCTTTCTCCACAGCAGTCCACTGTTCCTGCTTCTGAGGAGAAACTATAATCATGCCATCACTACAAGCCGTAGTTGTATTTTCTAACCTACTGTGGTCACATGCCTATAGTACCTTTTAGATAAATTGATCAGCAATGATCTGCTTATCTTTAAAATGGTTTAATGAGTGATATCCAAACTGATTGTAAGATCAGAGTTATAGACACAAAAAAACAAAGTTGGGGAGGGCCTCCGTAGAATCATCTAATCACTACTTAAGTGAAAGGAATGATATAAGAATAGATGATTACTTATTTTACCGTAAGTTCTCAGAAAGTATTCCATAATTTTCTTAATTATCCAATTTAGTACTTAGTGAAAATGATGATCAACATACTCTTCAGGTCCATTTCTTCATTACCTAGGACTAAATATTAAATATTTCTATCTAATTCCAGTACACAGGTTCCTCACCAGTGGTGGCTAATAACAACAAAGCTCTTCATTTCATAGATTCATGGAGCAATGTGGAAAATAGGCAAAATAGTGAATTTTCCATATAGATAAATTTGTACAATCTAACTAAATATATTTTATTACAAAATTAGGAGCTTTTGTTTTGAAAATGTTCCTTATTTTATGACATGATAGTGAAAACAGTCACTTTTTTCAATGCTCATATTTAAGCAAATGCAAGTCAGAATTTGACAACCATCTGTTATTTCTCATTATTTTTCTAACTTAAAGTTTAAATTCTACTTAAAAAGAAAACAAGTTTTTCACTGTTTCCAAGGTTACTTATAATTTATACAAATTTTATCTTCATATTTTCCCCTGTATTACAAGTTTTTCTCTTCTATTCCCCTGTTCAGTCTACCACAATCAGAAAGACAGGATTTTTTTCCTGCATCTGTAGTAGAAACCTTTGCAGTAGACAGTAATTGCTCCAGATCTGTCAATAAATATATCTCATATTAAAAAAAAAAAAAAAAAAAAAACCTTCACTGATCTGTGAGATCCCAAAGTGCAAAAATCTGGAGAGAAAAATCAATTTCTGGAAACATGATTTGTAAACTCAAAATCAAATTCACAAAAAGCTAAATGTATAACAGTACAAGAAAAAAAATCACACTTTAAGTGTATTCATAATTTTAAAGAAAAATTTAAAGTATCATTGATTACTTTCTTGTTCACATTATATATTTTACAATATATAGTTGAATGGTTTATTATAATTATATAATCAATATCTGTGTCATTCCAAATAATCTTGAATCACCCAGTAAATTTTCTATGTTTGTAAAAACTAGAGAAAACACATAATGCATAAAAACTAAGTTGTCTTTTTAACTATAGATTAGATTTTCAAACAATTTATAAAGATTTAATTTAGAATACATCTTTTTAAATTACATGAAAGCTCATTTTGTAAGCAGGAATTCAAAATAATCTTAAACCTTAGAATTATTTCCAAATTTAGAGTAGAGGTTTTGAAAAAATTATTTCTAACTTAGAAAAGATTCCATCTAGAAGTTGTAATTCTGGGTAACTAAAGTTTAATAAACATGACTGGGACTAGAATAGGAAGTCAAAGAAAAGAAATACAACAAAGGAAAATCTAAAGATAAAATACTGCTCCTCCATTTTGCAGCATTAAAAATATCATCTAAGAATTGGTTATTCAGAATTTGTCTAGAATACTTCTAGCTTTAGGTTACTAAAGATTAAGTAGTGACTACAAACTGTTAATTTCTTAAAACTCATGATAATAATTCACTATTTAACTACATTACTCCTATATTACTCATCTAAAATAAATCTAATACTGAATAAATTTGAGAACATCAATTTAGCAGGCATATTTTCAAATGTGAATATATTTCAATATATTGACTAGAATCCTAAGAAATGACATGTCACACACCAAATATGAAATTCAGAAGCCAAAAGTGACATTACTATTAAGGTTCTAATTTTTATTAACTATAATTTAAAAACTTACCACTTTTTAATGAATTACTATAACAATGTAAAATCACAAAGAAATCCCTAAGTTATATATTGTGACTATCACAAAGAATTATCAATGACGTGTTGAAAATAGCATGAACAGGGAGCTTCTCCAAAAGAAAGCATTTTAGGAAAAATAATATCAACTTTAGATAGATAAGTAAATAAACATATATATGAAGAAAACAGTATGTCCTTGAAAATGAGCTAAAACAACATTATTTTCTGACATTAAAGGTATTTAAGGCCATGAAGATATCAATTATGTTAGCAGAAACAATTCGACAAGATTCATTTCTTTCTACTTAAAAATTCTTCCATAGGCCAGCAATGTATATTAACTATAGAGTTAAAAGGTGGGGATCTTAGATGGAAGGCTACTTCCATAAAGAATCTAAAAGAACCAAGCTCATAAAAGCTAATAATCAAATGGTGGTTGATAGGAGCTGGGGGTGGAAGAAAGGGGAGATGCTGTACAAAGGTCACAAAATTTCAGTTATACAAGGAATATTTTAGAGATCTGCTGTATGATATGCCTATTATACACTTAAAATTTTGCATAGAAGTTAGCTCTTATATTAAGTATTCTTACCACAGTAAAAAAAAAAAAATCATCAAAAAAATGTCATGAGCCACCCCAAGAAACAGGGATTCCACACATACCTGTGAGAACTACAGTATGCCCTCCACCACAAGCTACTTGGATCACCTTCTCAGGAATTTTAGCCACCAGCTGGGGTATTCTGTGATTGATTAGCATCTGACTGGGAAGACCTAACTTTCCATTCTCAGGTTCTCCAAATGTGTACAGCTCGCCATCCACTATTGAAGAAGGAAAAGTAGAGTGATCAATGATGGCATAAATATGAATAAAACACTGGTCTTGTTAGTATATGTTCTCAAGCTCCATAAAAAATTTAGACAATGAAAACTTACTAAATTTGACCTTTATTGAGATATTCTTACTATATGGTAAAGAAAGAAACTAGATTTTCTTTTTCCCTTGATTATTTTACTTCAATAATCTTCATGAATTCATGACTATCACTACTAATAAACCACCAGAAAACAGTTTTAGCTCTTTTGCAAAAGATATCATCTTCTGCTCAATTTTTTTCCCAGTGCTTAGGATAGAACCTTGGGCCTCCCAAATGCCAGGTAAGTGCTCTACCACTGAGCCATACCCCCAGCCCTCTGTTTGCTTTTAATAAAGCAGATGACTAGATATTAAGCTCCCATAACTACACAGATTTTTGTTTTTATCATCATGGTATCCCAGAAACCCAGCTGTGTCAAGCACAAGAATTTAATGAATACTTGTTGAATATATGCTTTCTATGAAACTCATTTTAGAAAACTCACTTTATTTGTTAAGTACAAATGTCGAGTGATTCTTAAGATAGCAGACTTTACAGTTAGATGGCACTTTCTCCAGACTCTCTTACCCTAGGAGCTCCTAACACTTATGACTGCCTTGTATGTACTAACACTAATGATATGCTTTTGTATTATTCCACTTATAACACTATATTATGACTGTGAGTTTCTTGAAAGGAATTTTATAAATTTCTGTAATACTGCCACTTACTCATTGAGTCATACTGAGCAATCACTGTGCCTGTAAAATGGGAATAAAAGTACCTATGATATAGGGTTGTTATTTAATAGGAATAAATTAATTAATGCATTCAGGAATACTCTTTAGAACACACAGTCAGTGCCCAGATGTTATGAGTTGCTACTACATTCTCCTCCTCCTCATGTGGGTTTAGAAAAACTGGGTGCCAACAAAAGTCCTTTAGGCCCATAGAGTCCAAAGATCAAGGTCCAAATTATGGTTCTGCAACTCAGCTGCAGCACCACCTTGAATAAAGCATGTTCTAAACCTGCTTCTGCATATGTAATCAAGAGACACCACTGCCTCTCTCACAGAGTTATCATGAGATTAAGTGAAATGTAATTTGTACTTGAAACACGTTGTAGATGGCAAAACCTTATACATTTTGGAGTGAGTAGACTGTAAACTCCTGAAAGATAAGCACTTGCTTTAATCAACCTGGCATTGTAAGAAACATACTTTAAGATGACTTGTACATGGTAAACTGCTGAATCATTTCTTACAGTGTCAACTTTTTAAACCATTTACACCTACAAAGGGTTAGAAAATACATTTCCTGTAGCTAACACTAAGACCCTCTTTAAAGGTGAAGGTAAGTGCTTTTATCTGTATAAAACATTCAATTTAACTTCAAATTCTTTTTCTTGTTTATATATAAAAATAAAATAACATCATGATAAAGAAATTGTAATTTCATCTTACTCATTTTTACTTTATTTCAGTCTACTAATTTTTATAAAATCTGGATTCCTCAAACTACCTACCTGGCTCTGATATCTGCCTTCTCCAAGATTCTGACCTTAACCACCCTGCCATGTGTCTCTTCTCCAGTCTCTGAAGCCTGTTCCACACATCCCTGCCCTGAGTCCCAACAGCCCCAGCTCTTTACTTATATTCTCTATTGTGTTGCACATAACTCCCTCTTTACTATATGGTCCATTGGTTGCAATGCTCAGACCCCAACTATTAACACATCAGATGAAAGACATAGAAATCAGTGATAACACCTGAAAAATCCACATATTTTATTTCAAATATTTTAAATTAAATATTTTATATAATTTAAAACCATGAACTTGAATTTAGAATGTGAACATAAGCATTCAAATACACAAGTAAATTAAAAATTTGTAGGAAGCCTTAAATGTGACTATCTCGGTGATATGTTCTGCATTTTTATTAAAAATTAAACTCTTCTTTTTGGTCTCCCAGCTTGACATACCAAGACAAAAAGATAACTACAGTCCTTTTCTATACAACATTTTTATCTATCATGAAATATATATTAAGTAAAATCTCTTATACTTGGATTATTTCTAAGATGTGTAAAAAGTTGCTTTAAACTATTAAAGTCATAAAATAATGGCTAGTGTGAAAATTACTCACAATTCATATCAGTTGTTATAAATGAATCTCCAGCAAAATGTTTAGTATAACAGTTCATGGTATATACATTTCTGTGAATATACTAAAAAAAATCTTCAACTGTATACTTTAAATGGGTGAATAGTACAGTATTTAAATTATATCTCAATAAAGCTATTTTTAAAAAAAGATATAAAAACAAAAACAAAATAACTCAATATAATGCTTGCTGGCTTAAGATAACAATTCTATGTATTCCTCTAATGGCTAAAGCAGAGTTTATTAATAAACTTGGCTTCCTCCCTTAGTATTTATTAAGTCTGTGCAATAAACCAGAGATACAGTGATGAACAATACCAACAGTCAGTGTTGAGAGCCACAGCCGAAGGGGCCCCAGCAAACTTCCAGCTGCCAGCAAACTTCCAGCTGCCGGCTGATGATTGGCTCACAGCGGCCCCAGCAACATCTAGCTGATTGGCTCCTCGGCCCCAGCAACATCTAGCTGATTGGCTCCTCTGCGGTGATGCTCATTGGGCTGTTTCCCTGCCCTTTCAGACCACGGAGCTGCTCATTGGGGGACTTTTTTGGCTCCGCCCACGTGACCCAGCCAATCGGCCTCAAGAGCAGGAGGATTGTGGGAGGTGGAGAGAAGCTTGTGTGGGAGAGAGAGGCTTGTGGAAAGCCGGTGGTGGCAGTTGAGGCTCTGAGGGTTTTCCCTGAGAGGCTGTTTTGTTTGGCATGTGTGGTTCTAAAAATAAAGTTAGTTTCTTTTGACAAGTGGCTCCTGATTGTGCCCAGCCAGACTGCGGCAAGTCAGGTTTGCCCAATCTTGGTATCACGCTGCTACCAATCTGTTGGTAACTCTGGGGGTACTGGGATTGGTCAGTCAGCACTTCTAAATTTCAATCTGTAGTATACAGAACAAAGAGTAAACATTTATTTATTTTTTAAATAATTTAATCTTTATTTTTTATTTATTTTTAATGTGGTGCCAAGGATTGAACCCAGTGCCTCACCCATGTGAGGCAAGCACTCTACTACTGAGCTACAACCCCAGCACCAAGAGTAAGTATTTAAATAAATATTTAGAGAGGTATCTAAGAGGGTTCACAAGACTATTTTTTCTAGTAAATTAGATGGAAATCCACAACCATACTTTTCTTATTATTAATAGTGTAGATGCAGACTATAATAGAACCCAACATTCCAAATATTTTAAGGCAGAAGAGATTGTCAGTAGGCCCAGAGAAATTGGAGATGCTGAGAAAAGTCCCACCCAAGGAAACTATCTCATACTGAGCTCTCTTCCTTTTTGATCTAGTCTTCACCTCACTTCCCATTAATTTACTTGAAATAATAAAATAAATGATCAGTACAAAAGAGTAGAGTAGGTTAAGGTACAGAGGCAAGTGGGTCCAGAGGAAAGTGGCTCATAGGTCTTTTTTTCAATGCCAAAGGGATTTAAAAAGCTTGAGAATCAATATTTAGAAAGGTTTCAATTATATCAATTGACATAACATTCAATTATATCAATAGACATAACATTCACCTAAAAAGCCAACATGTCAGAGAGAATCTAAAATTAAAAAAATTATTATAGAAATAGAGAAATATTGTGATGTAAAACAGATGGAAATCATTTCATTACATGGATAACCATGGCATTATTTCTATAGAACTGTAGAATGTTAATATAATTTTATTATTAATTGAATATCTCAGAAATGAGAGATAATGTGATGAATCCAAAATGTTCTGCTTACTTGTTACAAAAGCTGAATGGTAATATCCACAAGAGATCCAGGAGATCGGTTTCCCAATAGTCACTTGATGAGGCACACACACATTACTCATATTTTTTAAACCAATTTGCCCTTCAGAATTGTCACCCCACATAAAAAGTATTCCATCCTCTGTAAAGAAAACACAAGGAGAGAAAAGTTTTAAAAGGTAGTAGGGCTCTGCAGCTATTGTAATTCCAACAGGCCATTTATTTTTTTAATTTAGAAAAATTATATGTCTTAAAAGAAAAGTACCAAGACAATTATATCAGCTGGCTACTAAAGAGTTCAATTTCTATTATGAAATACATCAATAACAATAAAAAACAGAGAATGACATGATTGTAAATCTCTGATTATGTTCATACTTTTATCTTGATAGCAAACACAGGATGTCATTTCCTATAATCACCTTGTCTCATTATAATGTCTCTAAACAGAAATATTTTCCTTCTTCCAAGCAGTCTACCTGCCACTGAACTAAAAGCCAGCATGAGTCACACAAAACATCTCCAGATCAAAAGAGCAAGTTCCAGGTCAAAAGTGAATGGAAGACCTTGCTCTTGAGAACACTATATAAATGTTTTAAATGAAGAAGAAGAAGAGAAAAGAAATATGTTTCACTAATCTCTTTTCTTTATACCTGAAAATACAAATTCTAGTTTCAGAGAATGAGGAGATATATTACCATATCTAGCATCTCAAAAACATATTCATTTATGACCTTTCTGATGAGGGTTTTCAAAGTTGGAAAAAGTTAAATTAGGATAAAAAATTTAGAAAAGAATTACTAATGCTTATTTGCATTAATTTTTTATTAAAAAACTTTAAAAATCTTTGAAGTGGTTTAATAATAAAACGATAACTGAAAACTAGAACTGAAAGAAGAATATGAAAAAGCTAACTATCTGGTTGACAAAACTGAAGAGAAAAGCTTCAGATACAACTCTGACTTTCCTAATAGAGCAACACTGGACATTTATAGTCTCCTATTTGGAACAAAACAGATAGCAAACAGCTTCAGTGACACCAAGGTGATCTTGACACCAACTTTTAAAGTTCTTATATGTGCTTTTGACAGGGAAGGCTGAGATATGCAATAAACATTACAAACCATAATATTTTTATAACGTATGCCCAACAGGTTTCTATAGCTTGCTTCTGATTAGTAACTTCAGTTAAAACTGGAAGTATATCAGCACACAATTAAGATAATATTTCAGATTATCTAAATTAGTAGATGGATAGTAGAGCTTAAAATTTATTTACCAATTATCTTTAAATATATATTTATATCCCACTAAAATATATTGAAAAATGAGGCACACAACATTACTCATATTTTTAAAACCAATGTGCCCTTCAGAATTTACACCCTACATTAAAAAGTATCCCATCCTCTATAACAAAAACAAATGTCTTCTGAAAGCACACAGTCAATGCAAGAAAATTAAATGACAATGCTGTCTTGAGTTTACCAACTTGGTATATCTTGGTCTAAACGAAAGTATGTGTTCCAGATTGAAATTAAAATACATCTTACCAGTTAGGGCAGCTGACGTGTTAGATCCAGCAGAAAGCTGTTTAATATTATGCTGGGATGTAAAAAAGCTAATTCGATGAAAGGTGTTTCTCTCTTCAGTGTCACCAAGTCCTAATTGCCCTTCATTATTTCCTCCAGCTGCATATACACTGCCTCCTTCTGTACACGGAAATGAAACATTGTAATACTATAGTCATCTTGCTTACAAGACAGGTTAGTGTATACCAGATATTCCCTCTATTAACAGTGAAGAAAAGTATAAACAAAGGCAGACTGGTGAGGAGGAGCTGAGGCAGAGAGAACAGCCTAAAGATAGAAGCAGCTTAGGGATGGAGGAAAGGAAGGAGACAAGAGGAACTGTTAAGTAGTCAGGAACTGCTAATTGTTAAATTTGTTGAAAATACTTTCCCTGGGTGCAGTGGTGCATGCCTGTAATCCCAGAAGCTCGGGAAGCTGAGGCAGGAGGATCATGAGTTCAAAGCCAGCCTCAGCAAGGGTGAGGCACTAAGCAACTCAGTGAGACCCTGTCTCTAAATAAAATACAAAATAGGGCTGGGAATGTGGCTCAGTGGTTGAGTGCCCCTGAGTTCAATCCCTGGTCCCCCCCCCCACCCAAGAAAAAGAAAATACTCTCCACTGATTGTCGTAGCACCTTTGTCAAAAATCAGTGGGGCATATATGTGAGAATCTATTTCTGTATTCTATTCTATTTCATTAATCTTTCTCTATCTTTTTGCTAATGCCATGATGTCTTGAATATTGTAGCTTTATAGGTCTTGAAATCAGGTAGTATCAGTCCTACAATTTGGTCTTTCTCAAAATTGTTTTGGCTGTTTTATGTCCTTTGATTTTGCACATATATTTTAGAATCACTTTGTCAATTTCTACCCCCCCCACACACAGCCTGTTTAGATTTTGATCAGAACCATGCTGACTTTGGTTGGCTTCCACTTACCCTCAGTAAGGAAGAGGTAAGAACAAGAACAGAAGCAACTAGATCTTGAGGTGTGCCTATAGGTAAGGAGATGCTGTCCCTTGATATAATTTAACAAAGGCTTTTTCTTTAGTCATTTAACATTTATCTGCATATTTACAAAGGCAAACATGTACTAAACACATTTTTAAAAGCCCTAATCTATCTATTGCCAAGGTACCATTTTCTATTAATTTCATAAACCCCAAAACATTACCAGAGTGAGATCTCAGTTCTCAAAGCCGGGCAAGAAGTCATACCAGTTAAATACTATACCTGTTGAAACTAGGGTGTGGTTCCTTCCACAGGCAGCAAGTTTTACTTTTTCAGGTTTAAGAGCTAAAAATATATGAATATGACAATTAAAATATTTTCTGGTTATGAAAATAATAAATAGTCCAGGTCAAATGGTAACTAAATGGTAAAAGAAATTGTTTATTTATTTTGGTGGTGGGGATCAAACCCAGGGCTTTGTGCATGCTAAGCATGTGCACTACCACTGAGCTATATCCCCAGCCCCAGAACTGAGATGAAAAGCAGGTTTACCTGATTCCAAAGTTGATGTTCTTAACTAGTTTTGTAATATAACACAGTGAGTCACTGAAAATAGTGAGTCAGTGGGTCTGAGGTAGGGCTTAAGTATTGGTATATTTTTAAAATCCCACAGGTAATTAAAAGATGCCACAATCCACTGGATTCTGTTGTGCTGCCTCCTCACCAACCTGATCCATTACCTAACCTGCCATCACCATTATCAAGCTCACTTTTACCATATCCAATGGAAAACCATAAGTTCAATATTCATAGGCATACACCTATGTTAAAGTTGTTCATTAATTTATCTACATATTAAAAAAAAAACATTTCTAGAATATCTTCTAAGTGCTGGGCATAGCATCTACACAGATGATTAAAAGCCCCTGGTCTCAAAGATCTCCTTTTAGACTATTAGATAAGATATTAAAGAGTAAGCACTATGGGCACTGTGAATACCCACAAGCATTTAGCAGTTTGACCATGTGGAATATTTCAAAAGTCCCACAACAATACCTATAAAGAGCATGGATAAGATAAGCTCGCACCTGAGATTCTGAGCTGCAATTTAAATTTTAGGTAGAAAGATAAAGAATACTGTTCTTGTCATATCCTAAGGAATGTCTATCACCCTTCAAATTTAGTTGATGTTCATGGTTATACCCAGAGGCTTTGCTTGTAACAGTGAGAAAGGTTTTCTGGGACAGTCATGATTTCAGATGTTTAGTCCTGAAATTCTTGCACACTAGTACTAATCAATCCCAGTCTTAATGTTTTGTTCAGTTCATCTACTCATTATGTACTACAGCATGAAGTATGTTTTACAAAACTAACAACTACATATGACCATGATATATGAGAGCTCAAAACTCTAGCACATTCTAATGTCTGTTATCTATATATGCAATAGCAGAAATATTTAAGTAGTTTTACAAAGAAGCAAAAAGAGGATGTCCAAATGTAATACTGTAAAATCATGACTTCCTTTGTGATCTCTGGGTTTAAAAATCAGTGTGATTTTTAGACTTTACCACATAAAAGTAGGTTTGAATTTCATATAAAGTTCTGATAATATTCAAGTGAATGTTACAAAATGAAGAGCTAAAGGCTTTATCATTTATGACATTAAAGAACTACACAATCAGTATGGAAGTACTTTATGTAGTTTGTTAAGTATTTAAAGTGATAAAGAAGACAAGACCCCAAACCTTTGACACACGTTGGCTTGCTGATGGTTGACTTTGATCCTAATCCTAACTGACCCCAGTTGTTACTGCCAAACATGTACAATTTATTATTTCCTAGTGGGAAGAAAAGAGAAATAACAAATTAAAGCACTCTTCAAATAAATAATGTGAGATAACATTATCACATGACAATAAAAAAGTTACACCTAAATAAAGTCACTGATTTTCTATGTTAAAACATATTACCTTCAATGTATAACCAGATTTTATTAGTAGCTTCTAAGATTATACAGCAACAATTTTTATTATATTGAAATAGACTTATTCGAAGAAAGTTGTGTGTATAGGAAATCATATTTTAATTAAATATATTAAAGTAACTTAAAATCAAAAGACTCTTGATGAGATCAGTTTGTGAAGAATTCTCTGGCAAAGTAAAAAACAACACCTTCTATATATCTTCAACATGTTGAAAACACAGCACATCTATACTATTTAGAATTCTCAAAGTATTATTGTTCTGATTAAGGATTGTAATACTAACCTGTAACAATAGCAGTATGTTCATCTCCACATGAGAGATATGTAGGTATGTCATGTTTAAACCAGAATTTACTGGGCATGTTTTCAGCAAATTTAGTTTTTCCAAATGTAAACACAGCACCCGAATCTGCAAATATAAGACAATTTCTATTTAACAACTTTTAATATGCTGCCAGTTATGAAAATACACTTTCAGTAATATATCTACACAAATCCCTGTCTCATGACAGTTCTGCCTTTACTGGAGCACTGTTTGGGGGGATGGTGGGGTTACTACGGATTGAACAAAGGGATGCTCTACCACTGAGCCATATCCCAGGCCCTTTTTAATTTGAATCTTGACACAGGGTTGCACTAAATTGGTGAGGCTGCCTACAAACTTGCAATCCTCTTGCCTGAGCATCTAGAGTAGATGGGATTACAGCCATGCACCATCATACCCAGCTTCAAGCACTTCGAGTTTCCCTTCTTCCCCCTTAATTCAGTCTTACTCCTTAAACGTCATTCTAGTTTGACCTACAAAATCTATTAGTGAGAAATATATTATGACAAAGAAGTCAGTCATCTATTTCTAATAGTTCTGCTGTCATCAGGTAGACATCTGATCCTGGGAATGAGCTGGTACAATGTGTGCCCTATTCACTCTGGTTAACACTTCAAAGTCTGGTCCCTGGACCAAGAGCTCTTTTCTACATTCAGAAATAGGGCAGTATTGAGTTTCTTCATTAGGCTCACCAGGACATTCTAGGGGAGGATCTATATAAGTCAGTTTGAATTTTTTTTGGTCCAGTTTTTCCAAAAAACCTCCAGTGTTCTCATGCTAAGGGAAAGGAATGTAATCACAAATGGTCAACTCTTTATGTGTCTATTGGTAATCATCATGACTACCCATAAAACCAGGGTCAAGACAGAAACAAACTATTTACACAATACCTCTTTCATTTGTACTATGGGAAGGCAGCTAAACAAAAAGGCTTTAAGTGTAATTAGGTATTCAGATTCTTACTCTGAATAATTAGCTATGTGATCCTGAACAGGTTACTTTACCAAGACTTTGATTTCTCTTTGATGATTAGTCTTTATTTGATAGTGTCTAAGCACCAATATTCCATCTTATTTACCCTGAATCTCACACAGGTATAAGCAGGTTAGTGAATGAATGTAAAATGCATTTATAATAGTGTAAATACAGGGCTACACCAATTTCATAGGGTTGTTTTGAGGGTTAAATGAGATAGTATATGTAAAGAATCTAGTATGTTGCCTAGAATGGCCAATATGTTAGCTCACAGCCACCTTCATAAACACTTCCTTTATTCTAAGAGCTGGAAGTGATCATTGGTTTCTCTGAATTATGAGATGTACAGAATTTATATGGCAATTAACTATGCACTATTAAGCAACCTCTCCAATCAAATCGTTACACACATCTTTTGTTGCTCAATATTTTGTTTTCTCACTTATATTCTAAAGTTTCAGAGAGTGTAGATTGTCCTCAGTACCCATACTCCCTTACACAAAGTGGTCCTTTAATAAACTTCAATTATTTTTAAGTCTGTTACCTTCTTACACACATACATTCATAACTGTTTTCAGGTCATCTTAATGGTGAGCAGGTAGTCAAACATAACTTTCAACACTCTTAATGTTAAAGATAAGATTATCTAAGTATTTAACAGAGAAATGTTTCAGTTTCCTGCTGATTTTATTGAGAATTGAGGATTCAGTTTAAGGATCATGTATATAATGAAAAGATTCTCTCAACAGAACTACTCAGGAAGCTTCTCATTAGTTATAGAGATTTTTTTTTCTTTCTTTTACCATAAGCTCTGTAAGGGAAAGAATGGTTTATTTTGTTCCTTCAAACACTACAACAAAATGCCATGATTCTAGGAGATTGGGGGCAGCAATGTAGAAATTCAATATTCTTAAATTAAGTCATTACTTGATTTGAGTAGTATTCACAAATTGTTTTGGCCCAGTACCATTTTGAAGAGAGACTGAAAACCTCTGTAAGTTCCCAATAACCATTTAAATACAAACACATGCCTGTACTAAATAGGCCAGATCCAGCTTCTAAGGAAATCTCAAGGAGGATTATCACATAAACTAATTGGTACCAGAAAGGAAAATGTAGCAAATGTAAGTATTAATAATAAATATCAATGCTCATGAGACTAGCCACTATGGAAAATCTTTTGAGAATCCTTGTGAAGCATCACATTTCAAATTAATAATTGAGAGTTGGGAAGCCAGGATCAAGAACAGTTTCCCCAGAATGAATCACTGAACTGTTTTGTCCTGATTCTCCAGGAAGCCTCCCTCTGCCACCCCACCCCAGGCTAGGGTTTAGTGGCTCTGTTCTGGTCCCCTGGCATCTATTGTCAAACTGCACTGTTACTTTTTTTTTTTTTTTTAATTTCTTGTCAACTTTCACAACTCCAGGAGGCCAGGAATCTAAGAATGTTTGAGCCTGGAGCATGGCACAAAACGCAACACATATTTCAATGACTATAATTCTGTTCTAGTCAGTGCTTTTTTTAAATTCAAACTATTGGTCGTGATCCACTAGTGGGTCAAGAAAATCAATTTAGTAGACTACGACCAGCATTTTTAACAAATGTATTATAGAAAACTCCGAGAGCATCTCAAATGGTTATAACAAGCAGTGCTTCGTGAAACGTCTATTATGTCGTAGAAGGTACAGGTCACAATGTCAAATGTATTTCAAATCGTAGAGCTGATGGTGGGGGTCTTAAAAAACAAATAAACCCCAAATCACTATCTCAAGCTTTCCTCTTCTCCAATTTGTTTTTTCCACTCCCTTTAATCCGAACCCCCTCATCAGCCCCTTTTTACTGAGCTGAATATGTAACCGGGTCCTGCCGATCTCCAAGGCGCCCAAGTCTGAAGCCCGTCGTACTTCGGGAAGTTTGTAGTGAAGAAAAAGGTGTGCCTGCCTTGGAGAAACTCATCAAAAGTTTATTTAAAACTCAGAAAGACAGGAACCCTTTTCCCCACTGTCCCCTGTCCCGTCCGTCCCGTCTGATCTTGTCCCCTCAGTTACTCGCGGAGGCCGGGCAAGAGATCTGGTTTCAGTCCGGTCGCTAAGCCTCAGGCCTGTACCCCGACCGGGCCCGCCCGGAGGCGGAGCCTGGCCGCTCGCCCGCCCGCGGACCCTCCCTCCCGGCCCGCCGCCACCGTCGAAGGCGCGACTCACCGGGCACCAGAATCTCGGGCTCCCCCATGCCGAGGACCGTAAGGGAAGTCTCCGTCAGTTCTGGGAAGAGTGCGGGGGCAGCTCGGGGAGCTTAAGGCAGTGCCTCAGCCACAGTGCGGGCTTCTGTACCCCCGGGGGCCCCCATAGCGACCCTCTTGGCATTGGCCGCTGCCGCGCTCCCGGAAGTCAACAAATAGCCGCTATGGGCAACGGAGGCGGAGCGTTAAGGCAGGAGGCGGGACGGGCGCCCAGTGTGGGACGGGGGAGGGGAACGGAGGCAGGGCGGCCAGGGCGGCGCAAGCGCAGATGGCAGCGGGCGGGGCGGTAGAGACCGCGCGCCCTCTGGCGGCTCAAAGTGGAGGAGCGGCCCCACCGAGCTGCGATTCCTGCAGTGAGCGTTTCTGCTGGGAGGAATACCGGCTCCACAGGGACCCTGCCTGGATTAGTGGCAAACGTCACAAATCTCACATATTTGATCACTGGGGCTTTGTGACACATGCGAATGTCGATGCGCAGCTATGACAACCTACTAATAGTAACCATATATAGCATTAAATGAGCTAGGCTTTCTGCTAAACGTTTTATATCCTAAATTACATTTGTACCCCCAGTATGTCAACCAAGGCATAGCATACACTAGATGTTCATTAAATATTTATTAAACAAATGAGGGCTATTACAGACCTGTAAGGCAGTTAATGTCACCCTATTTACAAATGTGGCAGATTATATATGGAGAGAGTAGGAGTCCCACTTAGCTTGTCCAGTTTGTAGTCTGAACAACCTTGCTTCCCAAAGGAGGGGAAAACTGAGGTGTATAGAATTCACTCAGTAATATTGTATTTTTGTAGGACACATCTTGTTTTCCTATGCATTAATATGTAACCATCATAAAATAAAGAGGCAAAAAGTCATCTTCCAGAATGAGTACATTTATATATCTGTGGTAGTTGTAAGCAAGGGCTCTAGAATCAGACCCAAGGATCCTTGAATTATTTGTGTGAACTAGAGCATGTTCCCAACTCTTTCTCAGGGAATTCACATTAAAATGGCAATTTAAATTATCCATTAATCATTCATTAATCATTTACTTACAAAGCACACTGAGGTGTACTAAGAAACTGTTTAACAAGAAACACTGATTGGTGTGGGATGTTAAAAAAGATTTATCTACAGAAAGGACTTTAAGTCTAAAAACTGAAGAAGGGGAAGCTGAAAGGGAAATGAGACCTCTGGGTAGAGTAAGTTGGCTGTGTGGCTCATAAGGCTGTTGGTTCTTTCCAGGAACTCAAAGAGGCTGGCTCCAGGTGAGGGTTTGGGGCCTGTTAAAGAATCTGAGATTTTATCCTCAGGAAACCACTGAGGGGTTTTAAGCAATGGAGGGACAGGACAGGATCAATTACACGTGTTCCTGAAATCATTCTGCCTGGCTTGGCTACTCCGTGGGGAGTAAATTAGAGCAGCGAGAACAGTTCAAAGACTATCGCAGGTGCTGATAAATGGTCAGGCTGACTTGGATTTCAGTGCATTGGCACTGGAAAGGAGCAGGCAGATTTAAAAATATTTTAGGTGGCAAAATCTATAGGAAATGGTGTCTGTGTATCAACTCTTAAAAAGTGCTAGATTACCAAATAACAGATCAACAGCAAAAAAAGGGCCCAAAGGATTTGTTGTTCACTTTTAAAGGATCATAATAGTTACTGTGGGAAAATCAGAATTAAAAAAAAGACTTACATTAGTTATGATATGCTTTCATTTGCTTTTTTAAAATTTTCAGAATGCAGTAAAGCACATTTCGATGCTGAGCACTTCTGTAAGTATTGATGTACCCAACACTCAGGTTCCCAACATAAGCAAATTGGAGTGGGGTGGCACAATTTATGGATATGGGGAACTCTGAGGAAGGAGGCTTGGGTTAGATAGATGGGGTACAGTGAGTTCAGCTTTGAGCACACTAAGATATCCAAGTGGAGGTGTTGAGCTGAGCAGGCAATTGGTAGGCAGAAGCCCCATATGGAGGCACATATTTGGTGAATTCCTGGGTTTATGTGGTGATAACAACCTTGGGGACAGGTAAACTAGAATGGGAAGGAAAAAGAGGCTATTATAAGTAGCGTAGAATTTAAAATTTAATGGCTCAGCAAAAGATGGTTAAACTGAAAAGGAGATTAAACTGACCATAAAGGAAGAACTTATAGAAAAGTGTATCAACAAGAAGGGCATGGCCAATTGGGTTACATAATATGGACAAATAGGGTAAAAGCCAAATGGCTACTTAATTGAGCAATGTGGTGATCATTAGTGTTGTTGAAAAGAGCTGTTTGGTAGGATGATTTGAATAGTTGCAGAATGGGAGAAACTGAGGGAGACATCAGGGTGATAGCTTTGGATAGGATATAGAGATGGATTCAGTGGGAAGAGGAGATAGTAGTCAGGGAAGTTAGGTGGATGGAGGGCTTTTGTGAAACTTGGAGAAACTTGAGAATACTTAGGACTCAAATGGAATAGATGGAGAGAGTGTGCAGAGTCAGGAGAGTGTGAGAATGATCAATAACATAAAGCAGGAGGAGATAACATCCAGACCCCATGTGGAGGAGCTGCCTTAGTTAGGAGACAACATTTCTAGCATACAGGAATTGAGGGAGAAAGACCCCATTTCACAATATAATTTTGATGTATATGATACATTTATATATGTAGATAGATGACATCTATATATTGTTAATATATATGATCTAGAGTTATGTCATATACATCATACTTATAGCTATGATATAGTTCTAGATCATATATGATACAATATATGGTGATACTATTGTCCAGCTCAGAAGGCTTTTGGGAGATATTAGATAATGCATGTGAAACAGCTTGGAGCCTGGGATATAATAGCACTCAATCATGTTAGCTATTATTAATGAGGCAGAGTTGACTGTGCCAACTGTGCTCATCAGCAAAATTTAGGCTGTGCCTCAGTACAAACACCCAAATCTCAGTGGCCTAACACAAAGAAAGAAGTTTCTTTCTTATTCATGCTACACGTTCAATGTGGGTCAATGGGGAGATCTGCTCCTTCTGGTTACACAGGGACCCAGGCTACTGATGGAGGGTCAGTTACCTTGTAGCTACATCATATGCAACTTGTGATCTCTTTGGATGCTGTAGCAGGGCCAGAGAGATGGAGCAGGAAATTAAATGCTTGAGGCCAGAAGTGACATGTTTCTCCTTCTTATAACCCATTGACCAGATCCAGTGTTATGTGCCTGTATGTTCTATCAGGGGGCTGAGGAATGTGGGAGAGCCCTTGAACATTTAGTGAGCAGTAAATACCTCTGCTGCAATCACTGCAGTCAGATGGCTTCAGCTCATGGAGTTTCCTCCCTCATGTTGGAGAAGGCAGGGTGTTCCACAGTTTATGACTCTCAGCAGCAGTCATGTGCTCTTTTGATGTCCTCTGCATACGGGGCCAAACACTCAGATACTCCTTAGGAAATCGTGTTGATACACAAAAGTCATCACACATCTGAAAACATGTACAAGACTTAGCAATTTCCTCTATTAATTCTAGTTGTTATTCATTTCTGGAGCATTTTGTGTCAACTAAAAATAGAGGCATTTATGAACAGGAAGACATTTGATAGATTATGCTTCCTAGCTGAATTCATTTCTTTTTTTGACAGCATTCATCAAAACTTCCAAGGTCTGCGTTCTGAGCTGCATTACAGTGCAGCTGCCATCACAGTTTATTTCTCTCTTTGGAACCAGATAAACCGATGTGTCTCCACTTTGCAACCTCCGTTATGAAATTTCCACAAGCATCCAAAATTTCAAAACATATTCTAATCGCTTTTTTGATTTCTGAATTTTTTCATGCAGCACTGAGGACTCACGAGTCCAAATCTTGGCCAAAGTTTATTTATGAAAAACACAAAGGTAGGTAGGGTGTACTATGCTACTACCCCACCGAAAAAAATTTGCATTTTTGTTTCTTTCATAATTAGTTGGTATTTAAAAATCCTTAATTTGTACACTGATCATCTAGAGATCTTGTTAAGATTTTGATTCTACAGATCTACAGTAATCTGAATTTTAAAAAAATTCCCAGCTGCTGCTGTTGCTGCTGATTATAGATCACACTTTGGGTAGTGTGTTAATCAGCATTTTATCACTGGGATCAACATATCTGACAATAACTACTTAGAGGAGAAAAGGTTTATTCTGGGCTCATGGTTTCAGAGGTTCAGTTTATGGTCTGCCAACTCCATTGCCCTGAGCCCGAGATGAAGCATAAGATCTTTCTAGAAGAGCATGGCAGAGGAAAGTGGTTCAACTCAGACAGAATAGGGAGCACAAGGAGCCAGGAACGACCCACTTTCTCCAGCTACACCTACCTGTCTACAGTTACCACCCAGTTAGTTCATTCAAATTATTAATCCATAAAATCTGATTTATCTACTGTCTCGGTTATAGCTCTCCTAATCTAATCATTTCACCCCAAACATTTCTGCATTAACACGGGAGCTTCTGGTAGATACCTCATATCCAAACGATAGTAGGTAACAAGAACTTAAACTATGGAAAGGTATCAAAACTAGTCTATAGAAGCCAGAAAGGAAAAGACTGATATATGTGATTGTAGGTTCTCCCTTTATGGTCAGTTTCCTTTTTAATGGACAAAGAGGCTAGTATTAAGAATATGTATAGGACACCAATAAATCAATAAGGAAAAGGCAAAAGATGAGAAAAAAAAGGGCAAAGGAGGGGCTGGGGTTGTGGCTCAGTGGCAGAGTGCTTGCCTTGCACATGTGAGGCACTGGGTTCAATCCTCAGCACCACATAAAAATAAATAAAAATTAACAAAAATAAAGATTAAAAAATGGGCAAAAGATATTGCATTCATAGAGGTAAAAATCCAAATGGCCAATATATTTACCAAAAGCTATTCAACCCTACTGGATATAAGCGAAATGTAAAATAAGTAATAATTAGATAACATGTTATACTTGTAAGATTGGCATTAAATGTAATAATATCAATAACTTTAGTTTTGAGTGTTTATGCAGGATATATTTTCACAGGAAGACTACTGCAATCACATTAGAAAT